AGGTAAGAGTCAAAAACTCGATAAGGGGTCAAATACGCATAACTAGAAACTAGAACCTGTTTCCTAGAAGCAGCAAATCAAAAAATCATGCAATATGAAGTGTAATTTGTAATTCAAAAAGCTAGTTATAGTTTAGAAAAGATCATTGAGACAATCTTATGATGTATAACACAAGACTTCACAGAGGTGTATTGAGCCCACCATTGGCGCTTTGCCCCGTGACACGCGTGGGCCCGTTGCCCCACTAGGTATCATTTCCATTTATATCGTGTCAACATTTTATTTTATAAGCTAATTGTCTAAACTTGAACTCAAAATTATCCCTATAAATATTACTTCAAAATATAATTCACAGTAATTTCAAAAGCTTCATCTACAGTAAGCGAAAACAGTTTTATTTAGCAGCAAAAAAAATTTTATCTGGGCTAAAACCGTTATTCACAAATAACTTAATAACGCAAACACTTAGCAAAACATAAATCCGTACACTTCATCCCAGTGAAACTGTAGATCGGCGGTAGAAAACACGGACATATATCTGCCATACTTAGCGAGAAACCCGCTATGGGTCGGTAACCGCAGTGGTCCGTTTGCCCCATGTTACCCTACTATGGACAGTTAAACTTTACATTAATAAAACCTACTAGTTCTATAGCTTAAGCGTCATAACTGGATTTTTTTGTATAACTTCTTAATTATCTCAGTATAATAATTTCTCATTTTTATTTTATGTCCAAAATAAGTAAAAAAATTGTGCAAGCTGAAATAAAAAAGGTTTTTCTATCCCATTCATTATTCATATGTCTGATATTTTATCTTTTTGTCTACACAGCTGACGCTCTCTTATTTCATCTTAGAAATAGTTGACCATCATAATTAATGATTTTCTGAGCATAATGACTTTTTCCCTACTTATTTTACATCAGACATATACATTTATGCCAAATTTTATCAGTAGAAGAAGAAAAAAAAAGAAACGCTGAGAATTCATCGGACTTTAAAAAGCATAAAATTATCGACAAATGGTATTTTTATTACAAAATATTGCAATATTTCTTAGTTTATATAATTTAGCTCATAATATAGATATAATTTCATTTATTAGCCTAAAAAAATTGGTTTTTGGCAGCAAAGCTGTTCCAGTCTGCTAATTTAAACCGCTGCATATCAACATATAGTTTACTTTGGCGGCCATTTTGAAAATCACTGATTTGAAGCCTTTCCACCAATTATATTTTAGAGGATTTTTTATATGTCTTTTCTGAGGCCTTTCTGCATGTTATAGTGATGAAGAAAATTCTTTTGCAATTTCTTCTAGGTTGACCCCCTTTTTTCACTAGGTTTCCTGGACTATTAAGTTTCCAATGGAATACACTATGCCATAATTGTATGGCATATTGACGGAATGTCCTGGGACATTTCTCATGATCAATAGTCACAAGCAAGGAGAGTAACAAAACAATCCTGCACTCCTACATTTGTCATGGCTAACAACTAAAGCTTCATGCGACACGTGAATGCAACATTCAATATCATGACGGGCCAGACAACTTGTGTATCCCATTTTAATTTTTTACAAATTTATACCAGACTATCATACTTTCATGATGGATTTTGATTCCGAATATTAAGCTAAAAACTTACAAAATCAAAAATTCATCACGTCGCTTAATTTGGCCCACGCTGACCTGGAACGAATATGACATCGATTTCACATGGTATAATATTAATTCCTTAAGTCTATTGACTTTGAATTTATGCAACAATTTTTGCCAAATCATTGATAAATAATTTCTATTTTAACGAGACGGGCTGCAACTAAACGAATATGCAGAAAACGATAAGAAGCTTTTAGAACTCGGAGCTTGCGTGAGTATCAGCATGAGGAATTTATTCATTTATTCATTATTCTTCATGAGGTTTAAATAAGCAACTCGTACATTTTATTACATTATTGAACAATTTACTTTTTCAAACCTCATTCATTTAAACATTATTGTTCGTGAGGTTTAATTAAGTAACTTGCTCAATAATGTTATGAAATGTATGAATTTTAATGTCCACTACCCTTAAAAAATCGTTCAGCGAACTTTTAAGAGCACAATGAGATCTCAATGCCCATCTCAAACTGCACCTCACGCCAGACGAGTGAGTTCCGAGGTCGAAACTTATCGACTACAACGGCGGCCGGCGCCAGCGTGTAAAATACATGCGAAAAAATGCCCCAGACTAACGCCGTAACGCTGAGAATTGTGAACTGGGTTGTTGCTAGCAAAAAACTTGATGATTATGTTCATATTACTTAATATTAGTACTAATAACATTACAAAGTTTTAATTTCAAACAGTGCTATATTACATTTTCCAAGATTTTATTTTAGCATTAACAAAATATATCTACATTATGATGCTCCAGTCATACTCACATTATAGTCAACTGTCACTCCCATAGGTTTGTTAGAGGCAGCCTGTTTGTGCAGGTTCACAGACAATAGGTTCATTGGACTGTGACATTCATTCGACATATCAAGTGCAGCTAACTGGCAATTATAGTTGAGTAATGACGTATGTGTCTATGTCTAGCTGAAGTATAGTTAAGCTTTTATATTATGTCCACTATCAGATTAATTGGGGTGTGAATGATGACGCGTAAATTTCAACATCATCATTCAACGCGTAAATTTTAGAAGCTTTAACAATAATTATAATATCATAAAATAGCTAGTATAACATAGTGCAATATAATAATATTCATTGATCGATTTGTTGCGAATTTGTTGGAAATTATTTAGCAGGTCTGGAAAAAAATATAAGCTGCTAATTTCCTGAACGAATTTTGAGGGTGCGGGTCAGACCTTCACACACGAACAGCATTGACAATGGATAATTTTTCTGTGGACAAAAAGTTAACTTGTCTTCTGACGGTAACTGAAGTAGGGATTGAATCTAATTTCACATGAAATATGAATCAATTCTGAAACTATAATTCCTCACGAACCTAACAAAGTGTTGAATACATTTGCTTGGATTAAGCGAAATGACATCACACTCTGGTGCCTCCATTATGAGGCATCATTGTGGCAAGAGCACGTTCGGCCTCGTTCACTTTTCTGCTTCAAATATTCACTGACTGAGCAAGGTTTGAATGAAACACGACCCGAGGGATAGACTGTATCATTCAGAATTAAATTAGAAATGAAACCTATTTCAAATAATAAATGAAGGATCTGCATCTATAAAATAGAGAACGTTAGGCTCTATAGGTCGAACTCCCGTCTGTCTAGCTCATTAACTGTTTCCCAAATTTCTTCAGTACGTGACTCGTATTCGTGGTACCAAACCTGTAAAATTTATCACAGCAGATATATTAGTTAAAGTAGAGAAAAGAAAATTAAACAGCTTACATATCTTTACATACAGTTAATATGCCCATCAAAAATTATTGATTTAATTCTGTATTTTAATGAGAATGATGTCCCTGCATCCATGCTACAAACTCATTCAATACGAGGGTTCAAGTGACTCAAGACACATCCCGTGTATGCTTCAGCATAAATCAATTTCGAGCATTATATTTGATTACTGAAAGGTAGAGAAACTACTTTCATAAGAAGGTGCTTGAAATAGGAATAAAAAAAACCTTCTGGGCGAAGTTGCTGGTCTTTGGAAAACACGAAAAATATTTGGCAAGCAATTAGATCTTCGATCCTGGATCTCATCTTCGGAAGCAGTGTGGTCGACCTGTTTCAAAAATATCTTTTATGCTAGCAAGATCATCCGGAGTGCACAGAAAAATATTGCTGGCAATTAAGTATCACCTGCACATCTTCATTCCGTGTGTCGCGACATGCCAGGTGTTGTCGCGACAACGATGTCATACTTACAGTGAAAGATGCAACGTCTACCCTCTAGACTTTAATATTCCAGAGAGTTAGTTTGTCGGTCGATGCAGTGATGGCATCGGCATGCAGATGCTCAACGATATTGACTTCTTTGTGGCCCCTGTAGTTGCCGGTTGAGTCTTTCAAGCGATTGAAACAGGTTTGCTATTGCTGAGTACGCAATACCACACATTATAGGCTCCCAAATGTAATTTGTTAATCATTTTTACCCTACTTAAGTGAATTATCGGATTTTCATCAATGATTTTATGCGTGCAAGGAAAGCAAGATTATCGCCTTTTACAACCAACGTACGCGGACATGATAGGAGAAGTGATATTGATCAGCAGAATCCATTTTTTGGACCAACTTAATTACGAACTAGCAGAATATATTCATTATCATGTCTATGATATAGTAGACAATACATGACACTGTTAAGTTTTCAAAGTGAAATTGAAAGCTGTTGGGAGGGCCTTGGAAGCAAGAACATACCATATAACATATGAAGTGTGTTCCTATGACAACGTCAATAACGTTACTCGCATTATGCTTGGCGATCAGGAAGAATGACATGACTTGCAAGATTGTTAATAGTTTTATTCTACGACGAATGCTGAGCACGGTAAATCTTCAAATGTTCCTGAGTAAAATATAAAAAAGATATAACTCAGTGCTCACTGCAGTGAGTGACAGAGAGCGCATTTTCTCGTTGACGAAAACGTGAAATCACGGACGGACAGACTGATAGACAGACAGACGGACGGACACGAAGAGCCAAATAGCACCTCTTTTTTCTCTTTTTCCACAAATGAGAAATGCGCTAACAATCTGAAATGTTGCACAGCTAGTATAAAATCTGGACAACTATGTACACTGTATTCACAACAACTCAACATGTAAGCTTCAGGATCATTCATGTCTGCTAATTTACACCAGTGCCTTTTTTGCATTTTTTTTGGCTAGTTTGAATATATTGAAGAGAATTTAGAATAATATTAAAGTCGATATGCAGGCTCATAAGCAGATTGCTGGAATTGTTAGAATTATAGTTTGATTTAAATTAATTCTGATGATATTTTAAAATAGTTAATTTATCTCTCATGATTGAAATTAAATTTCCGAAAGCTGGGTAGATTTCAGTAATAATTTTATAAATTTTTACTTCTGCACGAATCAACTACGTATTATCGTAGAGATGGAAAAGTGTTTCCCGGAATTGAACAACAATAATAATAATATATAGTAATTAATAAGTTCAGAAGTATATATAATTATTTTATTGGAAGAAGACGTAAATTTCATTGGCGCACATGTAAAAGTTGAAATTAATCAGCTGTAAACGGCTCATTAAAATTTTATGTTCTTCATTACGTAGAGTGAACTGACAAGGTAAGAATTTTTAACGTAGTGAATTCCAATAATTCCTTTGGAATTGCTTTTCAATTTGTACTCTTACAGGAGGAAACCAAAGCAAACGTTACACTTGAAGTCAGCATGGATCAGAAAAGGTAATGAACATGATGATATAACACAGTGAACATGATAATAAAACGTAATGAACGTGGTGATAATGTCCCAAGAATATTCACATCACCTTAAGATCAATAACGACACTTGAGTTACACATACAAGTACAAACTGCCGTGGCACAAGACAACGAAAGTCATTTCCTTCTTTAAGGTTTAGTGTATCACCTCTAGTTTAAGATACCTTTCACTGCGAAGTGCTAGTAAGAAGGTAATCTTTTCGTCTATTCTCCTGAAAATATTTAATTAATAATTTATTTTCTTCGAACACAGACAAGACCTTGTTAAACATGAGCATAAAATATTTAACAACTTAATACCATGACAAGCATATAACAAACTCATAATAAAACAAATAATGCAAATAAATCATTTCCCATTTAAAATCAACTATTAACTTGAAACATTGTTAAATTTAAGTCCAAGAGTTTGCTGATTATCGGATTTTCTACGTGCCTGCATTATTTTGAATTACAATTAAGAAGTTTTCACTTGACAGTGAATAAATGGGAAACCGAATGGTAAATTTGGAGCCCGTCTGAAAGTGGTCCTGAGTTGAGGTGCGTCAGACACAGCCTTAATGTAAGCCAGAACAGTTATGCCGTGATGCGAACACAGGCAGATAGACAGATGCCAGATGAAGTGCAGACCGGGAAAGCCAGCGTTTAGAATATGGTTACACATAAATCGATCGCTCAACCAACAAGTAACAGATATGAAACCGAAAACTGACGCTAACAATCCATGAGTCAAAGGTGCCCCCTTGCTGAGGGTTGGCAGTTCACGATAGCCTATAAGGAAGACAGGGATTAGCATAGGGAACATCCACACTGTGTTCAAGGCTGGGTCTATAAACCAACAAGCTGTTAAAAGTACTGATACTATAACACTTAATACCATGGAAGTAGCGTCGGACAAAAAAGGCGGCCTGTACTTCTTTGGAGTGAAAAAAGCGTAGCCAATAGGAGTCAGCCAGAGTATGCTGACTTCGTCCAAAAGTTGTCCCAAGAAAGATAAAGAAGCATGGAAGTATACACTGAAGATACCCGTAAACATCATTAGTGAATAGAAAACGAAAGGTCCAATGGAGACCAGGCGACAATAGCTATGCCATGATCTGGACTGCCACAAGTACAGAGGTGGTATGATGAAGCCAACGTTGGAAAAAGTGTTGGTGAACTCGGCGATGTTGCTGCTAACAATGTAGTTCTCCTCACACCAGTCGATGGGTGAGGATCCGGCAGCCAGCCACTTCTCGGTAATGTTTTCCTGGCAAATGACATCGAAGGTGAATTATGACGAAAACTAATAATTCAGTGGCACGTTATTGAGTTATTGAGTTTTTGAGTTATTGAGTTTTTGAGTTATTGAGTTATTGAGTTATTAAGTTTTTGAGTTATTAATTAGACGCATTATTTCACGGAAGACAATAAACTTCAACATCATATGAAAACATAGCTGCAGGACCTCCAAGAAGCAACATATAGGTCAATGGCACGTGGGATCGTTTTTAAAAAGGCTATTAATTTTTTATGACAGAGACCATCGCATTATGTTAACAGTCATGACATAAAAATATATATATTTTGGAATTATTAAATTTTTATTGAGACTTCAAACAATAATAAAATTATTATATCGCGAACATGTTGTATAATTAAAATAACTTCAACAAATACTCAAGTTTTATTCATCCCCACTAAATTGAGTTTATATTATTTTGGGGACAGTTTAGCTGTTATTCAAATTTTGAGTTGGATGAGTAAGATTAATGGAATTACTGTTAATGAATAAGAATTTTATGGGGCGCGTGGCTTGATGTCGCTGTCAAAATTTACACAAGAAAATTCATAGCGCCATTTATTGGAAGTCTTGAATACATCGCAAGATAAAAACTCCATTGATGTGGAAGAGGCGGCGATCCATCGTGGCCTGGGACTGCTACGTCCTAAAAAAGGTTCTAAGATTACCAAGATTACCAAGAAGTGAAAGAAGCCGACTACAAATAATTAAAAAAGTAAAAATCATAACTGATACCATTTCATCGAAACGAAAAAACTACATAAAAAATAAATGAAATAATAAAGTGAAGTAAAAGGTAGAGCAAAATAAAAAATATCGAAAGCTCCTGCGTAACTTTTACCTACAGGCAAAATCATTGTTTGGGCTCATCCAACATCCAGGCAGCGCTGCTCTCTCACGTCTTCTTGCCAGCTGAAATGGAAATAAATACTATTTCACATATAATTGACAAGGTTTGTGGGTTTATTTGTGTGTTTTTTAAGGATCAAGATTTGAAATTTTAATTTTAAATTGATGGATACGAATTCACTATAAAAGAGACACAACAGTTTCTATCATACTTTAAAACGAGACCAACATGATATAAATTGATGCGTGAGTAAATTCTATCTTTTACGTAAAATGAGGGTTAAAAATCGTCTTTACTCGATCAGAATAATTTAGTTTCAGTTATTATAAACGGATTATGTACTGCGAGAATGAGATTCCAAGATTGCAGAGATCATTAAGTCCAGGCAACGCCGGACTATAACCTGCTATAGTTTATTATGTTATACTTGCTGCAAATCTTTGACGTATCACCCCTGGAATTCACCTGGAGAACCACACATTGGGAGTCAGGTAACATGCAAATAAAGATCAGTTTAACATACTACTAATCGCAAAGATCTGCATCGAAACATTCCGGTAACATTTTTCGAGCAATTTTTCATGTGCCCTCGAGCGTAATTATTAAATAATTTAAGTGTCGATCTCATCAACCATAAATAGCGCTGTCTCCACATGAATCTTGTTAAAATATACAGTAGAAAATAGTTGATAAAAATTCAAGTGAATCTTTAATAGCTGAGAAATGAATTGTTTCATTCATGAATGAGTGTTTCATTAATTAATTACTCTATACTTTTCTCATACACGAGTACGGTATATGGAATAGGACTACGCACATTACAGCTATACAAATAGCCCCCATATATTCAGGACCTATGTAAATGGTGACGAAACGTCGGATCGTTTATGGCCCCAAATAACTTCTGTCGATCAAACAACCATTGATTTTCATTAAAAAAAACATCATGCGCAAAGAACATGATATATCAACAAAACATCATGCGCAAAGAGATGTATCTATCAGACTATCAAAACATTCAAGCCAAAGTCGAGACTAAACAAAATCTCACTGAATAGCAACCAATCGTTACGACAGCAACGAAGTTGTCCCCCATTGACTTCTTGCTAGAAGCTTTGGTAAAATACACGTCCGGGAAATAATTAGACAGGTGCTGGATGGTTTACATCATATAAACAAAATGTTGTAGCTGCGTATCTTCAAACATGAAAGGGAAGTTCGTTAAAAGAAAAAATTAATTACAGAGATGAAATTTTTAGGATTTTCATTCCTTATAAGTAGAGGATTTAGGATTTTTTTCAAGTTGAGTGCATGTCAACAATTTACTTCTTCCAAAACATGCACAACTTTGAACGACGAATAAATGAAGACTCATCCTTATTTGATATACGTCACGCCCAGCAGAGTGAGTGCACAATGCCGCATGATTAGAACCTAATTAGGAATTTGAAAGCAAAGAAAATACCACAAAAATTCACCATATATTTATAAGAGAAAACGACGTTTTCTCTTATAAAGATATGGTGAATTTTTGTGGTATTTTCTTTTCTTTCAAATTCCTGGTTAACTGGCGATTCAAGCAAACAAGTGATTTTAATACTTATAGAATCTAATTTGTATAAATTTTACAAATTCATCATTTAAATATTTGCATCATTGATACAATTAATTTATACTTTTGTAACCGCCGAATGCTTCTATAAATTGTGAAGAGAGTAAAGTTTTAGCTGCATTACTAAATGCGTCTTACGCTCATTTGAAGTTATTAATTCTACGCACGTTATGGCATACAACTAAAATTCTTGGCTTTTGATGATAAAGTTGCTTCCAAGTACAGAGAAAAAAGACTGAACGAGACATTTACTTGCAGTACGAAATGTTGCATCTAATGATCCATCAAAATTAATTTCTTTTTTCTTGACATGCATTTGCGTCATTTATTACTTATTACCGATGCATGCTCTCAGAATTTAATTCGCAAAGTTACTGTACGAAATAAAAATTAGAAGAGAAGGGTGAAACTGCATTGATAAAAAGATTATCTTGACACTAACTCTTCCCTATTTTGCTCGTTGTGAAATTATGTGCATGGCTTTAAACAAATGCCACGGGCTTGCAGAGAACAATTATAATGATTCTTGTCGAGACTAGATTTTGTATGATTCATAATTAAGAGGGCTCCGAGTCGGAAAATGGTCTCGGTTTTTAGGCAAAAACACTTGAAAAATTACTGAGCACAGAAAACTAAAAATATCTCTAGCACTAATGAAATAAGTAAAATAATATTCAACTGTGAAAATAATAAAAGTTAAAATTGATCCTTCCTTACTGAGAGGCTCAACGTTGTACAGTGTACACTTGCGCCTGTGAGTAGCATTAGCAACGATGCTCTCAAGCTTCGAGCTGTTGTCTATTTCGATGCATTGTCATGCTTCATCATCTGTTATCTTTTTTACAATTCCTGTATGTCGTGGTGGAATCCTTTTTCTTCTCACTGGCAGCTTTTAAGAAAGTTGCAACATTTTATTGTGTTTAATTGTAATTGAACTACCATTTTACATTTATCAGACAACCTAAAGCCTGAAAAGCTTCCATTTTTCGTATGACGATTTTTTTGTGGTCTGACGAGTGCACAGGCTCTGCTTAGCTTGTTGAGCCGTGCAGCTGAGGCGTCACGGCCCTGCCACGGCTATGTTTGTAGGACGAGTGCACAGGCTTTGCTTAGCTTGTTGAGCCGTGCAGCTGAGCCGTCACGGCCCTGACACGGCCCTGCCACGGCTATGTTTGTGGGACGAGTGCACAGGCTCTGCTTAGCTTGTTGAGCCGTGCAGCTGAGGCGTCTGCGGCCCTGCCACGGCTGTGTTTGTGGGACGAGTGCACAGGCTCTGCTTAGCAGTGCAGCTGATACGGGACAGCTGCTGGGAGCGCGTACATATGATGTAGCTATGAATGAGTCACCGTTTAGGCAAAACTGGACCAGTATGATGCACTTATTACTGTCATTCTTAGCCAGATAGTAAATATGCACGTATATTTTGCTGCTCGATTATCATGTGAACTTTTGAAACGAAGAAGTATTAAGGGAATGACAATATTTTCTTGTATTGTTTTGTCTGTAGTAATTTGTATGTTAAATAAATTAATTGATCAAACTTGATGGCCATTCCACCACAAGGACAGACGATGACCCATAATTCAAACGAAAGCCGGAAAGAAAATAAAATGAGCTTATAATATGATTATAAATATTAGGAAATATTGGTGCCGATATTGCAGCATTACATTTTTCTAATCTGAGTGAATCATGATTCGAATACGAAGTATTTTGTGTCTAACCTGGACTGTAAATTCGATTACCTCAGCAGAACTGAAATAAGTGTTATAATAATAATAGCGGTTTCATCGTTCTTTAAGGCCGTATAGGCCTGTCGCCGATTCTTAACATCGCAGAATATTCACAGCTTGTAATGCCATTTTAGCGTGCCGTAACCGTTATATGTAACAATCTAAAAATTGGTTGTTGGTCGCTGAAATTTTATACATAGGTTAAATGATAATCGGCTGAAAATGTATAAAATTTTTATGCAGGGTCAGTTTTTGTTCATTGATATTTGGATTGCACGAATTAATTAACCAACCCTCCACAATTTTAAAACGACTGATATATAATAGAATGGGACGGGAAGCATTTCCGTGCTTAGTGATAGATGTTTACTAAATAAAAGTCACCCAACATCGTTAAAGTATTTGGATAAATGTCAAAGATCGGTTATGGAACTTTGGGCATTTCACTCTAGTGAAAGGACTGAACCAACTGAAATGTAGTAATATTCAAGACCTCCAGAGGACCTGAATCAGGGAGGTAAGTACTAAGAGCGAATTTTTTATTCGCTCTCATAAACAGGTTTTATTCCACAAGACAAGGTGTCATACAGGCCAGAAATTCCTGTAAAGTTTAATAAATGTCGTCATGTGTGTCGTTAAAGTTGGGTCTAACCAAGAGAGTGACATTTGTTAAGCTGATTTGTGCCACTTTCACATGCACCGAGTTTTTAATGGTTAAAATGAATGTTATAGGTGCGGGTAGATACTCGTATCTCAGTCATCTTATAAGAATATTCATTCTAAAATGATAAACCTCTGTCTTTCACATATCTTCCTAAGCATACTTCATCTCCTATGTATTTCTTAAGCAACGCAAAGTCGCTCCTTATAAAGGCGGTTCAATTTGTTTTCGATCATTCAGAGAATGTTGAATAGCTTCCACGCCGTAATATTTAAATCACTAAGGAAACAAATCCAACAACCAAATGTTTTCCAACGTACTCGACTAGGGACGGAGAAATTATTGCGGTAGATGTGTCGAGATGCATTTCTTTAACCGGATTCTTGTCCATCGCATGCGCTGGACGAGAAATGATCGCGCGTGATCAGAATGTCGGTGCGCTGTCATGCTCATACAGTGCACAGGATTGCAGGCCTTTTTCCGGCCAAGCTTGACAATTTAATCTGTATGTTAATTACGTTATCCGCCAAAAATCTATGCTGACATAAAACTCACTGTTTATTTTGACGTTTGCATAACCTGAAAAATAGTATTGTTGCATCGTATATTAGGAATTTACTAATTATTATCGAATAAGAAATGATTTTGGCCTTTTTTTGCGAGCGTATTCGGCCGTTTTCTCTGGCCAACTGGCAACCCAACTTTAGCATTGAGCAATCGTCGCTGTGCTGCTGCTTGCTCCACCTAGTGCTGGCGACTCGTTGCCTGTGGCGCGCCCAAGCTCTCATACTCTCTGGCCTGAGTCTAGCCTGACCAAGTTTACAGGAACAGTTAGGTTTGATACGAACAATAAGCGCAGCAACCGGCGATTGAGCTGCTGCTATGCTGCGTGTCTGAGTTCAACATCACAGCTTTTTACTCATCAAAACTGCTAGCAGCTATGTTTCGTGTTAATGTCAGACATAACAAACAAGAACCAACACCAGGGGCCACCACTATAAAAAAATATAACTCAGTACTCACTGCAGTGAGTGACAGAGAGCGCATTTTCTCATCGACGAAAACTTGAGGTCACGGACAGACGGACGGACAGACAGACAGACGGACATGGCGAGCACAATAGTGCATTTTTTCTATAAATGAGAAAATGCGCTAAAAACTACGCTGCAACTTGTCCACGCGATAACATTTCTTCTCGCTTCGAATCACCAACATGTGGAACAGCCTCCCCGATGACATCGTTAGCGCTCCAAGTATGAACGCGTTCTAGAACAGACTAGATAAAGCTATGGAAAAATATTTTTTCGGACTTGAAATGCCTAGCACCATATCGGACCCGGTGGAAGTCTAGTAGCTACTTCAAACTATCGTCAGTCATGAAAAGATCCGGTCAAATGACACGATTTTAGATCTATGAACAAGGCACGAAATGCAAAAGAATCGGCGACAGGCCACATCAGGCCTACACTTCAGCGCCGACATCACTATGTTATGCTATAACGGTTTCGTATTCATTAAAGCTGCTATATTTCGTGTTTGAATTGAATACAACTATTTTTTAGCATTCTGAAAAGTCGTTGCGAATACACAGATATTGAAAGAGATTTATTATAAAAAACGTACACATATAAAAAAGTGATAATACAAATGATTAAATGTTCCGAGTGAATTCGTTATTTTCATTCTTATTATTAGGATTTTTCACACTGCATTTCCTTCATATAAAAAATTTAAATTTGGGCTACTAAATCAGCGGTGAGAAGGTTTGCAAGCAATGTTTGAAAAAATATTACACAATATTATACGTGAATACATAAAATTTGCGAGTGGTACACCACCCCATCAGTAATTCATTTTACTACGCAAGAGCTCAATGTATTATAGTCAAGCTCCGCCCCTTCTGTCCTTCAACGTTGACTGAAGATCAAGATCAACAGTTGCCTGTCTGTGCTCTCCACGAGGCTGTTGTTCCAAGCCTCGTATCCACGAGCCGCAAACGGATGCTAGCTTTAATTAAAAATTCAGCACACACAGGCGACACTGATACAACCAACAGCACAAGCTCATCCTTATAAATTTGTGCTCAAGTTTACACAACACATGCGAGCGTTTGCCTGAAATAAATGGGACACGCTGATATATACTTCTGTTCTAAGAGCGAGAACTTCATAACAACCTTCACCTTACCATATCTAAATGCAGATACTGTTAGTCTCTTTTGATGTTTCATGAACTACGAGAGAGTGAAATTATTTTAGCTTAGAGGCAGGAATACTTGACTATTGGGTGATATGATTATATCTCACGGCCAATCTATCATTCTATGCATGGGTATAACTTCAGATCACCACGCAACAAAATAACGTTTCTTCATAAGTGAAATTTGGAAACACGGTTAGCTACATTTATGAATATTTATCAATTAAATGGTGACTGGAAAGTAGGAGTTAGAACGTGTTCCCTGAATTTTGTGATTCGCAAACTCAGAATCTCAATCCCGTTACGAAGTTACAAACTTGGTACAGATTCGCGGTTGTCATTACTAGCACTAGCAGTAGTATTCTTCAAGGTTCATTATAACAGCAAGTGAGTGCACGGCCATTCAGTAATGCAAAAAAGCCTTACAATTTTTTTTTTTATTTCATTGCATTCAATCACTATAGGCTAGGCATACTATTGCAGAACTGTCATGTCTAAATCTACGAGAACTCGAGCATTGTCTTGCACAACAGTGATTCAAATGCAGTGTAAGGTTGATGTTCTCAAACTTAGCCGTGCAGGCAGCGTTTAGGAACCTTTTACTTACTAAGGGACGCAGCTTGATAAGTTACACCTCACTCAACGGCAAAGCGAGGAACACTAATGTCCATGGCCATGCTGTGCATCCAAGCCTCCAAGAAGGCCACATGTGTGAAGGTGACGGAGCCTGACTAGCATTGTGCAAGTGAATCAAAAGTAAAGCCGCATGGCTGCAGTGCTCAGCCTGGCTACGGTTGCTACCGAGTCGCTTGCAGGATGCAGCCAAGATAGCAGCACTTCTGCGACTTGCGGGTAATGATTCAGTGTTCAATAATAACAAAAAGAACGTATCTTTTCGGTCCTAAAAGGCTTAAGTAAAGTGGTATTTGTAGTAGTCAAGAGGACATGTGTTTTTTCTCAGTGCAACTGCTGAGTGCTGAAGGTTCCCAATTCGCACACAGCAATAACGAGGAAAATCATGCGGACTCGAATGAGCGCTTTTTTATTATCGAGAAAATTTAAACAAATTTCACCCTGATTAATGCGATGCATGTAGAACATTCAAGCCAAGTACAAAAATTTGTAAGTTAACTTTAATGATGATAATATGAGACGCTTTATTTAGAAACTAAACCGTACAAAATGAGGATGGAAATTACATGAAATCGTATTATTCAATTTTGTACCTATATAATCATCAGTTAATTTTCTGGGTTTCTACGTATCAGCACCTCTGTTGCTGATAATTTCGTATGGGCTGCTTGATTGTTCCAACGTAATGCAGTTAGATTGTTAATGCTATTGTAGAGTTATGCTCTTACTGCATTACTAATTACTATATTAACTGATAGTACCGTAGTCCCTCACCGGATCTGGGGTTACGTATAATAAGTAGAATTTATCGACTGATAGCGCTTTTTCAAGTATTTATATTGTATGTTTTCGGCAATAATTAATTTTTTCGAAGGTTTATAAAGGAATATAGTTTAAATATTTAAAGTTAAAGTTTTAAAATATTTATAATTCCATAAAAATTAATATTACTTTTATAAAAACTCCTCAGTAACCCGCGAACCTGTGAGGATCAGCAAATGATTTTTCTCATAGATATTTATCGAGGGATTATTATATCTTATATCGAACATCAATACCTGTATGATAACATCGACTTTCAAAATAAATATCAACGACGAAGTATCACGAATAACCATTTGTTAAATAAAATCAAAACGTTAATTCAAGATTCAAGCAAAGCTCAGGCACAATGCGGTAAATTCATGCAGAAAAGTAAATGCGTTGTGATTCATAAATAATCCATGGATGCTCACTAGATTTTTAGACATGGAAAATTTATTACGTTCAAGTCGAATTGAGGTAATGCTGTAGATAGTCCGAACCATGGTTGAACTGCATCCGCAAAAATGAGCTTCTCATAGGTAGTTCAACCATGGGTCAACCTTATATACTAGTTCAACCATGGTTCGAACAAAGTCGTGGAAGGTCACACCCAAATATACTAGTCGGAGAAAATTCGAGCATTTTGAGCGTTCAACAACATAATTTTGAATAGTATGGAACGACATGAGAAATCCAATCACTGAACATACTCTGTAAATCAGAGCTGCCAAAAACAATTTAGTTTGAGAGATTTATTTTCATTGAGACTGAGAACTTTACTTCTATCGTACTTTTTTTGCGTGAATTTATTACTAATAACGTTCGCGATTATCAGTATGTGTCAAAAACATTTATACATATTTACCTTCATCAACTTCAAAATAAATTATTTTTGCTGAATTTTTGTATCTGGATACCTTTTCAGAACGTCTAATCTTGTAAGTTATTTAAACCATAAACAAAGCGAGACCAATTTTACGCCCCTTCACGCAAATCAATTGAATGGGATTGCTAAATTCCAGCACACATGCAGGACTGAGTGATCGAGGGAAGACTTCGATAACACATAGTGGGTGAGCTCAAATATTCAAATGACGCCATTTTTCAAAAATTCAAATGTTGCTACGGTTCAAGTATTGACAACTTTGGCTTTCAAAATTTTAAGTTATTAAGCGAAGGTAGAGAAAAAAATGTTTAAGTAAGGTAAAGTAAAAAAGTAAAGTTCAGGAGCTGTACGGCGTGTTTAAGTGAAATCCAATATTCATTCGCTAAGAAATAAAGTGCTTATATGATTATAGCTCTCTTTTGAAACACTTTTGTAAATACAGTAAATTGAAATTGGCGGGCGTGCCAAATCGTTCAACAAGAATTAAAGAAATAACATACCAAAAAAAAAGAATGTAACAGATCAAATATCGTACACATAATAATACCAAATTGTGAGTGCTTAAAAGAATTTGAAGAAAGCCATGGCATGACGTTTGAAATAAAATGACAACAGTTTATATATCAACCAGAATCAAAGCCTAACTATTGCTATAGCTTAGCTTTGTGTATAGTACAAGGACTTCTTTTGCTCCGCACCACAGGCCGGACCAATTGGAGAATTTTCCAGGTATAAAACAAATCGTAATATTAAGCAGTTGTGGTTGCCTGCCGGAGACCTAACATGCCCATGAACTGACATGATCCCTGCTTGCAATTAATAACGTAGCTTCCAAAAATTCTGGTCTATCACGTTATCGGTATATCATGTTATTGGAATAAAACTTTAGGTAATAATTAAACAAAAATTGACAAATAATATATCCATTCAATTAAGTTTAAAAATTATACAATATAACCTTCTAATTGATTCTTTTTATTGAATTTTTTTCATCGAGAAATTTTAAGAAAATCCTATTACTTTAACAGAGGAAGACAAATTGTGCTTGATGCTTCCCATATAATAGCCGTACATTGATGATGAGGTACGAAGTGGGTCCACTTTTTGAATCAGATAAAGTCATGATTACATCAGATAAAAATTACTCATCATGAATATTTCTGCGGTCATTTTTATACAGGCCATAATCCGCTTCCGCTCTATTCCATCAGTTATTATGGTTTTCAGCGTACACTTCACTGATTTGGCAATGAATGTAAACTGACTATATATATACCTTCAGCACAGAGAAACCGTATTGAAACACGTACCTCGCAGTTGGCGGGATACTCAATATGTTGAGGCCTGTTAACATCACGAAAACATTTGTATACTCGATCGGATGGTTCCGTGATGGCGTCTAATTGGCTTCCCAATAAATATAGCAACACGGCGGGCACGCGCTAAACGGCAACCGCGGCGCTGCGACCGCGTTGTTTAGAAAACGAGACTTACTTTAAAAACACACCTCGAACATTGGACTGTTTACCGTGGTTCTGATGTTTAATTCGTGGTATATTTGTCTCTTTCATAATCATGACTTTAAAATATTTTCTCCAGTTCATCCAAAGCACGATCACTGCCCGAAAAACCTCACACGACTGGAGAACAAAATTAGATAGAAGAGACTTTTTCAACACATCGACATCCTAAAAAGCTGATCTTCGTTTGGACGCAAGTGAGATCCTGGTCCACATATATCTCTCACTTGGTATCCGCGCTTTCAAAATCCTTTCTCTTTCTGTAGCCCATAAGACAAAAGCACGGATTCGAATTCCATAGAAATGAAACTAAGAAGGATCTGCCTTCTGATTCGCAGATGATATCAAACTTCGATAATGACATCGATAAGGTAATCCCAAATTCTTTAATGGATGACTACTGTATTGATGAACGGAGAAATTGTCACACGGCTCATTATTTTTTCCATTTGTGTATGAAAGCAAATATTCTTGTGAAAGAAATCGTCACTTTGAGATTGCGGCTCATATGTTACCCTATATATTCGAAACAATCCCGAGTCTGATATTATAATTCTACAATTAGCGCGTGTTCCCAAAGCTGTGATGTCTTCGATTAGCGTCATAAGGAGAATTCCTCCTAATTTGAATAGCTATTGGAACACAAGTGAAATTTGCTCCAACGCGAAGGTTGACCTAGCAGCCGGCGAGTGCCTGAAGATGAATTTCAATGACCAGTGAGATAATTAATGTAAAGTTTTCACCTTATAGTAGATTTCCGTTTTAGGGTATCAACTTATAGTAAAAAGTAAATAAGTCCAGTTTGCATATTGATTACATTGATTTTATATGATAAATTTACGTAAATACAAGCTATGGGTAAATTTGTTTCCAATTAAAAGTTGATGATTTAGATTTATGTCATCACTATTTCATCACTTGTTACATGGAATATACATTTTCAACAAGTGAATAAAATTTGCAGTCTAGTGCCTGCAAATTTAGTACATAAGGATATAATTCTGAACAGTAAGAGCTGAATCTGGGAATTAATTTGTATCATGTTGCACATTGTGACAAATTTAACTTTGTCCAGATTCAAATTACGGGCCTTCGGTTGACTTACTTGACTACTTACTTCGGTTGACTGACCACTTGAATAGACTACGTATTTTACCTAGTGATGAAACTACGTATGCTTGATATAGATATAAGTTGTTACGAGAATATGTATTTATAGTTATTAAGATCAAACCGTATGTTTCAAAGCCTATGGTAGTTTTATCAATCGCATGGATGAGCTTTTCCCTCGATCTCCTCTATTTGACCTCAACATAGTACTTTTCGTGATCAATCCGATAACATAACTACTCTCGGTAGAGTTTTTAATTAACTTGTCTACTGTCAGGGTTCGCCGAGTGTATACTTAGGACACGTATAAGGAGTTCTCACACTGGCAGTTATGACTTGACAAAGAGAATGACACAAATAATTATCCCAAACTTCATATACTAAAAGGCAAGATATGATGATGATGATCCTACGCCTAGTTACAGAGCGAGGAACGGTACGAAAATGACTAGCACACAGGCCCACTTTCAGAAAGAAATCCTATCCTATACAGAGCTGGGCATGAGACAATAGAACTAGACACAATTACTTGCAGGCCCGCAATTGTTGATTGAAACTATGCAGCGAGAAATAAATAAAGGTGTTTACACGGAAATGCTAGTATCTCAATCAATTTCCACATTGGTACATCACCGGGTTGTGCAGTAGAAGAAAAGTCCCTTGGCGAATCCGAGGGCGGCCTGGCTGTTGCCGTTGGGTGCAGTCGTCGTAGATCCTCAATCACGGCTATGTGAGGAGAAGGCGAGGATGCTACGTGTATTCTTCTTCGCAATCGTTGATTCGGCAGTCGTCGATAAACACGAGGATGAAAATAATAAGTCTCTTCTGTGCATGACGTTCGCCGATAAAGACGAGGATGAAAATAATAAGTCTCTTCTGTGCAGGACGTTCGTCGATAAACACGAGGATGAAATAAGTCTCTTCTGTGCAGGACGTTCGTCGAAACTCAACATTCGTCCAAATGACAGACTGGCTGACTTGTTTATAACCAGTTTTTGACGCATTTTCTTATTTATGGAAAAAGGTGCTATTGCGCTCGTCATGTCCGCCTGTTCCTCCGTCCGTCCGTGACTTCACGTTTTCGTCGACGAGAAAATGCGCTCTCTGTCACTCAGTGAGTACTGAGTTATATTTGTTTCAACCTTATGTCTAAACCGTTCAAGTCGAACAAGCGTAATGAAAACTATAATCATGAAATGACTGTAATTCAGTCGAGTTTTCCGAGAAGTGCAGAATTGTACTGTTCGAGTAGACGTAAAAAACGCAATATTGTGATGGATGAATTATCGCTTAAAACTAAATAAAATTTAAATAAAATTAACGCTTAAAATTTATTGCCCAGTTTAAAGCGAGCCGACGCCAAGCGAGGTAAGCATGAACATGGAGCAACCACAGCTAGGTCCACCTGCGGCATGCCTATTTTAGCGACCCATGTATATGTATCTAGTAAAATAAATGCTGCACATGCTTTTGGTGCTTTTTGATCGAGAGAAATAAAAGAGTTGCATTCGCTGAATAAGTGTTTGTAAAAATAATAACGCAAACAAAAATTTGCTGACACACGTGCGTCCGCAACAACCTCTGCTAACGTAAGCCTAGAAGGGCTGTCGTCTTGCTGTAAGCAAGTTTTTGCCGCTAGTAAATTGGTGTGAAAACGTCTGCAAATAATTTTCGGGATAAAAATATATCGCATAATTTTTTGCCCAGCTGCCATTATTACAATATTTAAAACTCTACATCGAATGAAAATTATTCACACACCGTTTTATATAAGATTCCAGTAAACTTTTATATTTTTCATATAATGCAACCCCAATTTAATGCACTTAACGCACCATATTGAAGGAAAACTAGTTAAGTTGCAACTGTATCGACACGCGAATATAGTTGATTCTTTATGTAGTTGATTCTTTTTGACTGATTATTGTTTGCATCGAGTTTATCCATCTCCAGCTCGTCTAGTGTCATTTAATTTCTTTAAAAAATCAAAGTTTTCGATACAAACAAAAATCTTCAATTCGAATAATCGCAAAAATCATGATGGCCTACGAATGCTACAAGATAATTTTTAGAACTGTTAATTAGCACTGAATAAGATAAGAGGAATGACAAGCTAAAGTGTTGGGTTCTGTGGAGAAGTCCGAGAATTGTTTTTGTGACTAATGTTATGAGCATCATCATTTCACTGACACACTGAATTATTCAGTGCATTTTTTATTAGAAAAATAAATTCCGTGATAAAATTTTACGAATTAACACAGAGTACAACTATAATTAGATTACGTCTCGTTTGGAAGCCATGAGGCATTTTGATTGAGCTTTGTTCGATATTTTTTAAGAAAAATTCTCAACAAATATTATTCATCCGCCGATTCCTTACATTTCTTCCGCTGATAAATTTTCAAAGTGATGTTTATGCAAAAGTTTGAATTAATTAAAATATAACACTGCGTCAAGCGTCTGCATCAAATTCGAAGTTTTGTTTATACGTGTTAAATAGTCAAGCTTGGATTTAAGAGAGCTTGTTTCGTGTAAATACTGATACCAATCTTCCTTCAACTTATTTTCAATACCTTTTCCAGACAATAAATATGTTTTTTTACCAAAATTTGTGGGTATTGTGAGAAATTTTTGCGCTTAATTTTTGTCTATTTGGCGCATGATGCATAACTTCTATAAATTAAAAATCAGCAAATCTGATGCACTTATAATGTATGCCTGTAAAGTGATCTTTCGGCAGCGATTGAATGAATAATTGACTTTCATCGATATAATTATGGTTGTCTACAAATTAAATTCAAAATAACTATTAAATTCATGTAACAATTAATAAGTTGCAATATTATAGTCAAATACGTGCAATATCTTTGCAACATCCAATTAGCCTACGGTTGCATTGACAATTGAGTACTTTAATTATTGTATAGATTTGGTTACAATATTTAATTTCCCGAAGTTTTATATTTCCTACAAAGTTATACAATAAGTAAACTCTTCATAATGCTGGAGTAAGTGTAAAATGAGGCGCAATTTTTGAACTGATATTATTGGTGCGCATTTTTATACAATATGAGACTTAATGCTTTCTGCAAAGATATTATAAGAACTTTCTCATATAATTCACTATAACCTCATCATGCAATTAGAAAATGTAACTAATATTATGAGCATCAATTTTCAATAAAAATAAATACTCAAAAAATTTAATTTCATTCCACACATTTTTTATTATTTACAGTATTTTGTATTCACTCTGTATAAAAATTATCTCATTGCTGTTCTTCGACGATAATGAGGCTTTTAAGTTAACAGGTTTGATTCTTAAAGCTGTTGCTTCCAAGCTCTGTACTAACTCGCTTGATTTCATCCTAAAATTGGTGTCCATTACCGATATTGGATAAGGATTCCTGCAAGAGGACACCCGACTTGAACAGTTGTGCAATGCGTCGATAACTACGACATGTGGATGATTTATCAGCGTCATGCCGACGATTTGCACCGACCGCAGGTCAAACGCCTTGGGCATTTACTGGGGAGGAACCCCTCTGTTTTATCACTTCTGTTATTAATGTTCAAACATCTAAGCTAGAATCTCCAGCAAAATCATAAGAGGAAAAATGAAACGATATCAGCCATACTTGACATCAATATATTCACCCATCAATAGATTCCTTCTTAGTTCATTAAATTTCTGTCTCCCTCTTATAAGAGCACCGCATAAATTTTAATAATATATATAAACAAATTACATTAATAACTCTGAATAGCTACAGTGAGCAAGAGAGTTTATAATAATGGGAAGGGACACGCATTACAGAGGTCGCGTATTATGCATGCTTAGTAAATAACAGATGAAGATCCAACAATGTACAAGAAGTTGTAGGAAGTACTGGTAAAAATTATTATTACTATGGCATTATTGCTAAGATTATTAGAATGCTGGGCAGAATATCGCTGAGGAAAACCTCAATGAAACATTTGAGCTGATAACATGCGATGAGGCTATCTCGGCGCCATGCAGCATTGACCACTTATAGTGTTCAAAGACGAGGAAGATGTTGATAAATATCAGGCAATTATTCTTTTAATTTAAATTTTAGAGAGCTTCACGGGGTCATCTAAATTGAAAATAAATTTATTTAGGTCACTTAAGTTACATCGGCTAGTGCAGGAGATTTTCGGATTTCACACCCTAGAATTTCCTTAATTATGCATAAACACTGGAGCTCAATTACTGGAGTCATAGGGAAGTATTTAATTACTTATGTGTGTCAATTTATGAAATTAGAACGAAATAATTCATGCATTGTCCACACAATAAAACATATTAAACACAAATATCGCTTAATCTCGCTGGGGCGGAAGGCAGCCTAGGAAGATTCTTCTCTCACTTCATAAAATGAGAGTATCAGCATAATGACTAATATCATTAAAAGCAATGCTAAGTTGGTAACAGAAGTTTGCACGATTACGAAACTCGTAAGGAGAGAAAAAGTTTTGATAGAAACTGAGATAGAAAACTGATATATTCTCCAAGATAAAAAACTGAGAAGAAAGGAATGGTAAATTGTCCATGTTCCTGCACATTCAAGGATCATGAAGTTAAGTAAGCACTTTACTCAAACGCAGAGAATAATGTTTGATGGTTAGAAAGCTCTGGCACATTGAGTTATGAATGTATAATTTATCTATGTTTGGTGAAGTCATTATCCTTCAGGGGAAGGATCGTAATAGAGAGGAGAACACAATACAAACCAGAGGGACAAATGAGCTCGATATGTTTAATGCAGCGGTCGTTCAGAATACAAAAACTTTGCCCAACGTTCTACCACAGCGTTGAGGTAGAAATGCTGCCATGCAAGATAATATTGACTCGATAAACAGGTACATCCGGGCGTACGTGAACGATTTCAGAACGGTATATATATAACGCGATATATTAATAGAAATAAATGCTGAATAACAAAACGTATAAAAATCTGAAGCGGTAACTAGAGAGAGCATTTGATTGACAGAGAGCATGTAAGGAAGGTTTTGTAAAATTCCAGGGAACTTTTCAATCCTGTATGAGTGGATTTATCTCTTAGCATTTTTAGTAAAGAGCATAATTATGGATTTTGATTTTCCTTCCTATTAGGGCGTTACATATTAGGGCGTTAAAACTTTAGAAAGACACAGTCTTTAAGTCAAAGAATCATATTTAATTTGATCTAATTTGTAGCCTTTTATAAGGAAAGTTTTAGAATGATGCAGACCCGAAATAACGTCCAGCCTTCTAAGAAAATTACGAACGCAAACAAGAAGCTGTTACACTGCAAGCGACGCTCAACACAGTGAACGTACGAACAGCGCATTTATTTATACATACATGTGTATATATATTATATATATAATCTATGATGAACTTTGATACTAGGAAATTTGTGATTGTCATGGCGTCAAATGATGTCATTATTTATAGATAAAATATGAAATATGCCAATATCTAACGTTTATTACACAAGTTTGATAAAGAGCTATAGATGTAGAAAGAGAAAAATATGTTAAACTTAACATTGAATATAATCCGTTGCATTGTTTATCCGATGCATTTATAGCATATTAATAAAGAGTTACGAGAAAAAAAATTCGCTGTAATTGTGACAAAACAAGAAATTATTTCACTCCCCGATGAAATTTCATGATTTTAATGAGTTATCAAATTGTCATGAATGTTCCACGTGGCCATTAACGAACGAAATTCGTGGTCATTCACGAATTTCATGCTCGTCAACTCACGATAAGAGCAATCAAAACCATTATCTGTGATCACTTCAACACAAAAGCTTCTTTTGTAGAGCGCGACCACATGCGAAAGAGAGCTTCGTATCTTTAAATCAAAGAATAAGCTCGCATTTGCGGGAAACTCGCAGAGAGAATATTGAGCGCGATGATGTAATACATCGATGGTTGAGCTGCATAAGCTGTACACTGCAGAGAGAAACGTCTTAGTCATACCACAGCTTGAGCTGTACAAGCTATGAACAGAAGTTTGAGTCGTTTTAGTCATACCATAACTTGAACTGTAGAAGCCTTCTACTGAAGCGCGTCATACCACAAGGTTGTCAGTCATACCGAAGTGTCAGCTGTGCACTGAAGAGCAGGATGTTTTCGTCATACCACAGCTTGAGCTGTGAAAGCTTTGCACTGAAACGTGAGTTCTTATAGTCAACCCTAAGCTTGCAGAAGCAATACACTGTGTGTATTGTAATACAATTCAGTGTATTGCAGAAGCAATACACTGAAATGACGTCTTAAGTCAAAGCTCAGCTTGAGATGTAGAAGCCTTACACTGAGACGCTGGAATTTTTAATCATTCCACTGCTAGAGCTGCAGAAGTCACACTCTGAAGCGCGGGACATTTTATTCATCCTACTGTTTGAGCTGTAGAAGATATACGTAGAAGCGTGGAATGTTTTAGTCATCCCACAGCTCGAGCGGTTGCTCCGCAAGTAAGACTGGCAACGAAGATTCTCCAATAAAGCCGCTGAAAAACTGCAGTCCAGTCAAACGCTCAATGTCCGTCAGGCTGGTTAGGTGATAGCGGCTGTATTCGCGATCATTCTGCAAAAAAGATGATGTCTTGTACATAGACATATTATAGTAGAATAATATAAAATTCATGTTTTTCCACACGGACAGATTTTTCTACTCAATTGACTTAGATATTTGAAATGCGATCATTCCCCAACTGGATTTCAAAAGAAGTAAGAACCACTCAAATGAGAGCGATCTCATGAGTGGCCACAATCCACACTTTGCTTCGTGAGTTTCGGTTGAAAGAATAAAAAATTGGACTTCTGGAATGAAAAATGGGTAAAGTTAAGGATAATTCAGATATTTTCTCTTAGAGTAGTATGGATTTGGGATTATATAGAGATTTTGAAGTAATTGCGATTTTATCTTGCGTGGTATTACATTGCGTATTTTATTAAGTTACATAACATTTTACATTATATATTTAATTTAATGATATTGATGAACTAGGGCCCTAAGAAAGATGCATCTTTGCTTACCATCTGGCAGTTGTCGTTGAGCTTAGTGTTCGGGAACACAAAAGCCAACACGTCCAGCTCGTCTGAGGCACATTTTCTAAGGTCAGTTTCATCCAAATCAAAGCCTGCAGAAGTCTTGCAGGAACTGACGATGTAAAACACATGGCTGGGCGTCAAGAAATCTACGAGAGACCTGAAATTTACACGGAAATAAATAAATGATAAAAATTATGAGTGAAAACAGTAGCCAAGTCTAACCTATGCAAGGTTATAAAGAAAGAATAGAATAGAAGTGTCGGCACTGAATGAAATAGGCTCATGACCTGTTACTGATTCTTGTACTTTTCATCTTAATTTCCAAACCCATCGAACGTACAATTTCAGTTTCGATTGATTTGTCTGAATGTGTTTCATCACCCACCTGATGTGTATTATCGTATCCCCTCTGCCGTTGTAGTTTCTGTCCCAGACGGGACCAGTGACGACGTTCACAACGTTCCTGCTGCGTGTCCACTCACGTAACAAGCCCACGATGCTGTGCCGACCTCCTTCAGTAAAACCTTTCCTCAGAGCGATGGCGTTGGTCAGGAAGTAACCTTCTCTTGCCAAAACTTCCGGCGCTTCAAATTCTACAATTAAATGTAGTTAAAATTTATTAGACAAAAATGTTACACGCAATCATTTCCATATGTTCTTCGAATCAGCGAATGAGCATGCACGATGGATAGATGTTATCACTCGTATTATATTATATCACAATAATATTATAGAATAAAAGGATTTACATTCAGAGAATAATGTGATGATTTACATTCATCTCAATATCATTGACTATTGTATGTTACTGGAAACAATGTAAACATTAATATTAATGCAGGTTTCATTGAAGACCAGAGAGTATTTCTTATTGACAATTTGCAAACTACCGGATTTGTCAGGACGTTAAAATTGTTCTCGTAATTCAAGCTTTGATTCCAATCTGTATCTATAATACTCTATGTCTATAAATTTATCTATAAATTTATAAATAAATAAGTCTATAAATTTTGCTTCAAAGAAGGTTGTAGACTTCTTCATGTTTTAGACAACATCGGACAGATTGGACTAACAATCAGGACGCCGAGCCACTGTCTCGTTAGCTACCTTCAGACTGGAGGGCAGGTGAACCCCGCGAGACAAGCTTACAACCAGACCGTCACTCGCATTGTGCTGAACGTATTCACCAGCATCGTGATCAAGCAGTGGCCCGACAACAAACGACCGGCGATAGCTGAACTCCTCATCTCTACAGATTGGATCCCAGCTATCTATTTTCTGGCTGCCTGATTTGTCTGAACTCTGAATTTTCCGAGTAATTTTTGGTCCAAAATTTTACTGTTGTATCCTAGTTACTTATATTATGTACTTATTTCCACCAAAATTTCAATGTTTAATGCTTCTTTAACTTGAAAATGAATGTTTGTTGCATTCGAAACGTCGTTAAATAAAATGTCCCTTGGAAACCTGATATTTGACTTTTCAGTTCCTATCAAGAGCCTAATTCGCCGAATAGAGAAAAACAATAAGAAAATTGTCAATAAGAAATACTCTCTGGTCTTCAATGAAACCTGCATTAAAGAAAATCTTCTGCCAAACTACACCAACATTAATATTAGCGAACAGTTTTAGTTAATTGATTTATATACCTAATTTTTTCTACAGAACAGAGATACGTATGCCAAAAGCAAAATTTTTTTGGCTTTATGTGGTCCTAAAAGCGGACGCTCAAAGGATTGTACAGGACCTGGATTGTACACTATTACTATTTTACATAATAAATAATTCAAATTGAATCACGCAATCCTACCACGTGCGTTCAGAGGAGTAACGTACGCGTAGCGTAAGTTCGTTCTGTAACTTCTATTGGATGTTAGCGAGAAATTCCTCGTTTATGAGCCAAATGAGCCAAACATTGAATAATTATTTGCAAATTGAACAAATGTGCTTTTTCGTCGCACGCGCCTTCGATGAATTTTTCTACGCTAAATTTGGGAATTGCCAGCATTTCACAACTTAATTAAAAATCCAATTCCTCATTACTTATTAATAAAATGAACAAATGTTGATGACAGCGCACCTTGAGGGAAGAGCTGATGCATGCTGACGACGTCGGTGTTGTAGCGGTCCAACAGATACTCCATGCACTGCTGGTCAGGGTCTCTGGGCAGACGTGGGTCGGCGAGCCAGCACGGCGAGTCGGAGAGGCCACCAAAATCCTGCCCAATGGGCAAAAAATTTTCAAGGTTTCCTTTGAAACGAATAATTGGCTAGCGGTGAAATTTAAAAATGTTCCGACTTCCCCTTGTAAATTAAAAAAATTGGGATATTTGGTGACCAATTAATAGCGATGTTGAAATGGAACTGAATTGATTGATCTATCAAGATAGTCGAGCTCAATTCAACCAGAATCAAGCATGGATTCAACATGTTCAGTGATTTACTTTCAATCAATGATTTACTTTCATTGGCCATAAAAATATGCTCCTTACAGGTCCTGATCGAATGGCCCTCATAACTTTTTCAAGGTCGAAGTTATTATTATACGGCTCCTTGGATGAAAATCGTGATCCTTGCAATATGAAATATGAACTGTATACCAAGTTTCTTTGATGATAAGGCTATTTACGGTAAGTTTAAAATGACTTCCTGTTTGTTAGAAGGGAGGAGCTGTCCGCGGAGTTGAGTAAAATTCTACTTCCTATAGACTAGCATAGAGGGTCGCCGCAATTAATTTTGAATTATCCCTATTAGACGCCCAGAAATGACATCAATCGTCGCAATGAATCATTTGTAGGGAGATTAGTTGTTACAGATAACTTTCTTACCGTTGAGTTGGCTAGAGGATTCATCTCCAAAGCATCCAAGGTGGAGTTTGTGAGTGTGAAACTTGACCAAATCGCAGTGCCCAGCTCGCCTATGTAGCCTGCAAAATATCAACTTTTAGAAATGCTCCGAGCGAGTGACGTGGCAAACTATATTTTCTGATAAATTTTATTTCTTATATTAAAAGAAAAAAAAGATACATTTAACATGATTTGCATGATGTTTTCTTCAGCATTTTTGCACAAAAATTCAAATCAAGATCCCACGCCAAAGGTTTAGAGCATCAATGACTATGGATAGTTTTTTGATGAAAATTCTAAGTCTCGAAGTGCCACTAATGATGGATAACTTTTTTGCGTTGAAAGTATGATAATGTTCTTCAACACTAGTTTAGTTACTCATATGAGCAAACGAACGAGCAATGCGTAAATAATAAACTAAACGGCCGAAGTACATCAAGCATAAAAAAATCTTCGCGAAGAGGAAAAAATTAGATCAGTACTCACTGAAGTGAGTGACAGAGAAAACATTTTCTCGTTCGTCCGTGAAGTCACAGACAGACAGACGGACGGGCGGACATAACGAGCAAAATAGCGCCTTTTTTCCATAAATGAGAAAATGCGCTGAAAAGAGTCGGAAAAAAAACAAAGCTGACCGTTGATGTGATTGGTGTATGGTAAGATGTAGTGGGTTCCTCTAGGTGCTTCTCTGGCTTCGAACTGAGGCGCGCCGAAGGGACAGTGATGAGCGATGTGGTCAGAACGCGCCGGCTGCCCGCGACCTCGCTCTTGTTGCTGCGTGCACGCAATCACGTTAGCTAAAATAGCATACTTCTAAAGCAGTTGATCAAAAGATACGACGGTTGTTGAAATTAATATAAGCCAAACCGTCAGAAAGTAGAGAAAAAGAGAAAAACAATAATGTGAGAAGAGCTTCAAATTAAGTTAAACGAGGGATGCATTTGGGTGGATATGATTCGTGACCGGCGGAGAAGCGTTCCTATACTGAAATGGTGGTCAACAGAGGTGCCTAATGGGAACCAATAACTAATTTGAGCTAACTTTAATTATTATTTGTTAATATTTCAACACCTTATAGATTTAAACGATGGATATTCATTTTAGTGGAATTAAGCATGAACAATGCAAGGGGTACGACCAAACCTGGAGTTACAACTTCGTAAATGTATAACATGAGTTTGTATAAACATAACAGATTCTGAGATATTGCATGCAAAAATGTGCCCAAGAATTTTGAAACACTATACATGTAATTACAAGAATCAGTAATAGCACGTTCAACAAATATTCTCAGTAGGTTATTTATTATAAGGTTGAAAATTGCATCTACAAGAAGGAAGGACATAAGTTACGAAAACGAAATTCTATTAAATTTCAGGGAAAAGCCATCAAGCATAACAGGTGAATTTCCAAGACTACTCAAGACAGAAGTAGTCACACAACCATGCATAACGATATATTCTAGCCGCTTTCGAATCAAGATATTTAAAAAAGTGTTCAATGATTTCAACACTTATCTTTAAGCTTCTTAAAATTTTAAATCAAGTATTTCAACAGTTATCTGCAACTTCTTCAAAATTTTGGTCTTCTTCAAAATTTAGTAATGCTCGTAATTTACGTAAAATTTCAAGGAAGTTAAATACGAACCAGATCTTTCGACGATGTGCATTCGCAGGTATTCCTCTTCTTTCGATTAGTTAACATGGACTCGGTTACTGGATTAGTTGACTCATTTGTGATGTTAGATTGCGGCGCGTTTTCAGGCTGTGGATTCGTTGTCTGCGTATTAGTTAAGGAACTTAAAGAATCATTCTTCTGTTCAAAATTGTCACTAGCTGAGAGATTAGTTGCAGTTGGCTGAACATTAGATTCAGTGGATGACGGCAAGATGTTAGAAGATCCAGTTGTGAGAGTAGTGGCTGTTGGCAAGATTGGGCTTACGGATGATGAAGTTTGTACTCCTTGTTCACTAGACAAGCTGTCAGTGGTTGCTGAAGGAGAGACTTCACTTACTATGGCAGTGGAAGCAATACTCACGTTGACTGAAATACTAGGAGATGTTGTGCTGCTTTCTTTATCCTCAAGCAGTGTTTCATTTTTTACTCCATTTTTCATCGTATTGTCTACAGAAGATCGTTCCCCTACTTCCATTAGATCTTCATTAACCTGAGAGTTGTGTGCAATTTCTTTATCCAAAACAATAGAAGAATTGGACACTGCATTGCCATTGTCTTCAGGAGTATCACGGCTATTTTCGCCCTCCGCTAGTGGAGTAACAACACTAGATAATGTTAAATTAGGAATAGGACTTTCAACACCTGCTGTTGGTTGCAGATCTTTAACAAGGGCTGAAGATTCATCCACTGTTTTTCCTTCGCGTTGGCTCAAGCTAGATTCCAAAATTTGCTTCGTTTCCCCATTTCCATCATCTGCAGCATCAGAGACTACTTCTGACTGTTCTTGATCAGACGTGGAAGTGGCTTTAGTCGATGATTGAACCAACGGTTCAGAAGTCGATACTGTAGGTCTGGACGTTGTAGAAGCTGGTATTTGCTCTTTATTTTCTACGGCTTTATCTTCAACTGGATGAGTATCTATAGGTATGGGAGAAGAAATGGAAGGGGTTGTGCTGGTAGAGATAGAAGAAGATTCCACCCCTGCATCGTCGTTGAGGGAATCGGCCTTGTTCTCAATGGATGTGCTCGACATCATTTCGGTTGAAATTGGAGTCACCATTGTAGTTGACGGAGGGGATGAAGAGATAGTTGGTTCTGTTGTACCGGTAGAGATAGAAGGAGATTCCATCCCTGTATCGTCATTGAGGGTAGCAGCCCTGTTCTCAATGGATGTGCTCGACATCATTTCGGTTGAAATTGGAGTCACCATTGTAGTTGACGGAGGGGATGAAGAGATAGTTGGTTCTGTTGGCGGTACTTTCAATTCTTCGAGAAACGAAGGATCTCTTGACCTTGGGTGCAAAAAGGAGAGGACGTTTTCGGGCCAAGCATTGATACGTATTGTGGGTGGAGGAGGCGGATCACGTAGGATATGATACAAACTACCTTCAGTCCCTGTGAAAAGGAATGTTAACATTATTCGTCTCGGAGTAATAATCCTCAGAATGATCTGGGCTCTTCATCACGCACGAATCCAAAATATGCCACGCGTAAGATAACAATTTTCAAGATCCACGTATTGCATTTTTTGCATCATGATCTTTTTGTTACTCATTTATACCCAAACCGTTCAAAACTGCGGATGCTCAAGGTATGAAAAAATATAAAAATATTAATGTGACAAGAATTTTTTGGTTCTTGAGGCGAGGCACACTATATATAATCAAATATTGTATTATTATTTGGTGTGCGCGCTTTAGGTGCGGATCGCGGCACTAGAGCAGTTTTAATTATGTAATTAAATTTTGTGAATTTAGCGAAGGTCGATCATTAATGTAATTGTACTGCATATTCGCGGAAAATCAATTAGATATTATCTATTGTAGGGACGGGAGTGCAGTAGGCACCGCTGCTCCACGACCTATTGAATTTATTGCACTGAAACATCCTCGTCCAATCAAATTATCTTCCACATACTACCAAACCTTTTATCGTATAATGGATAGGATCTATATTTTTTCTTTAACTGATTCGAGAACCAAGCTACACAACGACAGTTGCACAAATAAACACATTCTAGAAAAAAGTGCGTACACCTATTACTTTTTAAAACAATAATTAAGTTAAATTAAGTCAAACTCCTATTGAAGTGAACCTCACGTGCGATATCATACCGTTATTAGGAGACGCCTTGGTGCCTAGTAATCTCGTGAGTAAGTTGTAGATTTCGACATTTCTGAAGCCAGAGAACTTGTAGTTTGCCTTGAACGATGGACCGCGGGCGAAGAAAATGCCCTGTTACATAAGAAAATTAGTTTAACAAAAATACGATGATACTATTTTGTAACATCGTTCAATTTTCGGCTGTTTCGAATTACAATTTTCATGTACATCAATAAAGCGATGGATCGTATTTTTGTACTCGTTTGTGCCAATGCCTTTCGAATGTTTATCCATAAGGAAGCAAAAACATGATTCAATTTTTTCTTGAAGGGTCATAAAATGAACTGAATTGAAAAAAACTTGTTTGCGGTAAATAATTTCTAGCTCGAAATTTCAGGTCTTCCACCAAAATATAGCCAAAAAAATGTTCAATTTCGAATATATATAGCAAACCCTACTAACTCTTATGAGAATAGAAATGACCTACAATGCTAAAATACCAATCTGTTTGGTGCAGTTAACTCTAAGTGTTACGAGAGTTGGCTCTCAGTGACATTCTCTTCTTTTCAATTTAACCAATATACCTGAATATATTGTCATACCTGAAAGGTTTTAAAGGTGCAAGTGCGAGAAATGCGTTTAACTAATGAATTATAAGAAATAAAATAATTTCTACATAAACGTATGATAATTTTTATTGATTCAAATTAAATTTGAAAATTACCGAAAGTTTTTTTAATTTTTCCGAAATAACAGTTATATTATAAATGTTCATCCCAGATATGTGTTCATTCGTCATATACTAATTTATTAGTTTTCCCATTTTATGCTATTAATTTTATTCCTAAATAAAAATAAACTGCTGTACACGATGCATGATACTGCACAGCTGGAGCTTGTTTCGTAACAAGCACTTACATGTGGGAAGCATTAAAACTGATGTTTTAATGTTTTAACACCATAATATTTTTGATACCATTATTCGATCGTGACTGTAATGTCAAAGATACGAAGAAACACATAATTTAAAGAAAAACAGTATAAATCGTGCCCCGTAGTTTGACTCGGTTGGTAAAAAAAGTATTTTTCTCATTTAACATTGATTGTCGCTCGGCTTGTCGCTAAGTTCTCTCCAATAATGTTCATCAGTTGTTTTATCTGAACTTTTTATCAGAATAAAAAATAATAGTTGCATCTTCATTTCAGATCCTGATGATACAATGAACGTTTTAATTTACCTGCATCAAAGGGTCGATGTTGTTGAAGCCATGTTCAGCTTTCTTGCAGTAGTTTGTGTCGGAGGTTACGATCCTGTTGCCGGGCAGCGTATCCAGGATAACTCCTTCAATTCGTTCATTGTTGGCGTAGTGGTATCTACGTAGATGGAATCAAGTATGCTTAATATTTTTAGAGACATTTATATTCATAACATAACATAGTGATGTCGGCGCTGACGAGTAAGCCTGCATGATGTGGCCTGTCGCCGATTCTTGCCTGCCGCACTGGAAACATTTAAACTGTTCCAATAGGCGTTCCACTTACACATATTTGAATTGAATTGTAGGATACTTGAGGTAAATTAGGTTAATATGGATTTTAAGATGATAGAATCCAATAAAGTTGATCAGTTAATGAGTGGATAGTTATGGGAAATAACAACGTCGTGTTAGAACGGTTAAGAGCAGCTTGGCAAAGTTGTGATTGGATAAGCAAACATTACCGATCAATTGCTTACGTAACGTTATAGTATAGAGAAATAATACAATAGGTACCACTTTTTCAATGAGAGAAGTCGAGTCATTGTCGAGTCTGGAAACTAGTGAAAGAATACTAGAATGAAGGTTTAAGATTCGACTATATATTAAAATATACAGGGAAGAATAACTTTAATATGTGCACTAGTAGGGCAATCTTGATAGGTATATCCGGCTGAGGCGGAACGCAGAAAAGTGCCAAGTAATTAATTTTGTTAAACATAATGAACAGGAACCTCATTCGATGAAAAAAACGTTGTTTTCACGAAAGAATGGTGTTCGAAAAGCTGACAGTGGAAAAAATTTCGGAGTTTATGCAGGAAGGAGCTGCTAAAGTCCGGTCTCTAGCGTTAGTTTTATAAAGAAAGACTTTGTCAAAAGTTCGATTTTTAGACATCCGCGGGAGGGAAAGTTGAGCGAGGCCAACATCGAGCTTCAATTAATAACAGAGTTACTACACAATTGTGCACTAGCGCCTCAACTAGTGAAAGGGTGAGATTTAGATTCTGTTGGTCTTCACAATAGAATAATATATAAATTGATAGTGACAGTCATGTTGGAACAAGGAAAGAAGGGAAGGTCGAATTGGGTTACGGAGTCGAAATATATAAAAATAATTCATTAAAAATATAGAAGTAGCAATTTATAAAGCTAGAAAACACACAACTTACAATTTTACAGTACACAAATCTTGAAATTTCAGTTATCACAAGAATATATAAAGTCTAGCTGACAGGAGATAAATCACAAATTGGTTATGTCAGAAATGAATAGTCAAATCCGATAACTTTATAAATTTATTCCACTCAGAAAGAATCGACGTTAAAGGGTGAATAGACACGCCAAGAAACAAAATGTAATACGCATTTATTTTGCAATTAGGAGGTGAAATTTTTTTATTCCCGGATAAAACTGGAGTAAAGGAGTACTTGGATTAATTGAAGTGTGCGCATTTAACTTGAGTAACAAAGAATTATCATTAGCCTCACCGGTTAGGAAGTACATCTTTGGACAGGGCTCTCAGCTTACGATTCTTGCACCTCAGTTGATTGAGGATTTCTTCATTTGACCCTAGTAGATTTGAGAGAATAATCATGAAAAACGAGAAGTTAAGCTAGGGAACTACACAATTCAGACTTCAAACGAAATCAGTTCCGGGATAACTTTAAAATTCAAGTTCGTATATTTTTTTCAATTATCGCAATATGCCATAAGTCGCAGCATTCTTATCACATTTTTAAATTTTTTATTTAAAATGTTGATACGTCGAAGGTTATGGTAACACTTGGTATAGTATATATATCTATGGTTATACATGTCATTCACCTGGACTTAATAAATTAGAAATAGAATTGACTATTCACTATAAATGAATAAAGTTCATTCATGGAATAATATCTTTAGAGTGAGTTGGAAAATATTAGAAAAGTTAAATAAACAACAACTTTGATATATAAGATAAAAAAAATTATTCTTAGGCCTACCAATTTTGTGTTCTATGTATCATCGCTAAATTATTTGGAAACCGCCTACTACGTTGAGCGCATCGCCTGTGAGTCCTCACCTTTGCCTTCAATGGCCTGTAGTCTCCCTACAGCACCAGTAATAACTCTGGCCTTATGGTCAATTTTTTCCATGAATGTCTCCAGGTAGAGAGAGTTAGCACATGATGAAGGCGCCACTCCATGGTCTGAGACAACCACGATGTCAACGCACGACGTCACGTTCATCTCGTGCAGAGCTGTCATCAGGCGGTCAATCTGATGGTCAACTTCCAGCAGCGAATCGTTGGCCTACCAAAGAAGAATCCAAGCATATATAAAAGTGTACGAAAACTATAATTTCTTGATGTATGATTCTTGCTTGGATTTGAAATTAAATCAAGAATACAGCATTATCCCGAAGCGCCCCGAGCGCAAGCAGCGGTCGAGGGCGATAATTTCAGGACTTTTTTGGATCAGTGTCATTTAAATATAATTAACAGGTGAGTATTGTTTAATCTTAAATGATTTCACTCGTAAATACTCATACCCGTTTTGTGTAGATGCCGGCTTCCTTGATGACTTTGTTTGGGTTGTCAAAGTACAGGCCCAGAAGACTCGGTCTGTCCTCTGGCTCTAGGAGGAGCCACTCCTTGATCTGAAGAACAATTTGTATTCCAGATTACGCAGAAAAAACAAGATGATGTCTTAAACAAAAGACAGTTACAAGCTTCTTCTAGCGACAAATTCTTTTTTGTTGAAAGTGCAAGGAAAATTCTAAAATCTTTGTCAGCACTTAGTTGGTGGATACAATCTTAAAGAAATGTATAAAATAATTTTAAAAATTCGATACTTTTTTTGCGAATATGATGTAGGATTCAAAACATCGCTGACATCTTGGAGGAAAGATCTGCAGATAAAAAATTGAGTTCGTTTCTTCATGTCCTTATATCTTGGAAAGTAACTTGATTGCTTAAAAATGAAACGTAAGGTTGCCGTTGGTATTGCAAATCAAAATAGTGATGACCTCTTCCGCGAAAAGCAAAAAAAGGCTGCGCAGTATGCTCAGCCATGCATACAAGATAAGATTGAATATTATCGCGATGAAGGCAGCAGAATGAGCATTTTTATGATGAGCATTGTTAAAAAACAAAGAACGAAGCAAAAAATAAAATAAATGACTTGCACAAAGACAGTAACGTTCGGTTGCAGTCTACATCAAACGAGAATTGAGATCAACTCGGGTTCACGGCAGATTGTGCCGCCGACAGCCTCTCCTAGGTATTGCACTACGATGTGTTATTTTGCTTCTACATCTATGTAGTCTGACACCACTTCTACATCTATCTTGTCTGCCACCAGTAAAATGGCTCGATTTGCACACGGCGTATCATTCATATATCAATACGGGAAAAGAATATCAGAAAATTGTGGAGAATACTTGGCTTAAAAAAAGATGTCGTACGAGGTGAATAAATATCTTCAACTAATATATTATATTAATATAAAGAAATTTTCGCGTGAATAATAACAGAGATCGGATATGAACGGGGCATTGAAACGGAACGCATATTATAAAAATTCTTGTGCTAAATGTGTGAAACCCGCAACTGGTTGTGAAAATTTTGGTCGAATTTGAGAAGGTGGCTCGGTGGCCACGAATCGGCGGCAACCAACATGAGACTAGAATGAGAAATGCTCCAAAATATCTCACTAGTCTCTAAAATAATTATCAAATAGATTTATCTATCTTGCAACATCGACTTGAATTTTTGAACTCAAAATTCAAATTCAATTCTATTCTCCCATGAATTTTTGCTTGGAGGAACATGTAGAGACAACCGAGTCCGATAAAAAAAGTTATTGTTGAAACATGGACGCTTGCCGCAAATAAGAAAAACGAATTGTTGTTTAAGCATAAATTAAAAAAGAAATGAGCCAAGCTTTATCGCAATCGTATACCTATTAGGAGCGGGTGAGTTCCCGCGGTGAACCGATGCACAAATTCCACTAATTAGCCTATCGAATTGTACAATGCTAACATAATAGTAATCGAGTCAAGCAATGTAATATATATCGGTCTTTCCGCATAACACGCACAAGAAATTTAAAAATTTGTCCAACAAAAATCTATTGTTTGTCATAATATCTTATTGACGCCATCTTGTCCTTGTAGTAAATTTTGTGATATATGCCGTAAATTGATCAAAAAGTTCCCCAGCTTTCCAAAGAATAGTCGTTACAGTACTGTAGGAGAGAGTGTGATATCTCCCACAAATTTGTGAACAAAATTCTGCAGTTTGTCGTGTTACCTTATTGACGCCGGTCTCGAGCGGGTAGTCGTTGCACTACTGTAATAGAGGGTCTGATATCTCCCACAAATTTGTGAACAAAATTCTGTAGTTTGTTGTTGTACCTTATTAACACCGGTCTCGAGCGGGTAGTCGTTGCGGTACTTGTACTCGATGGTGGGAGACCTGCCGTTCACTTGTACAGACGCTCCGGGCCAGTAATACATGGCGGACCTCAGGCCCTGCAGGTTGCAATTCGCTAAAAAACTGAGTACCCTTGTGATGATGTATAATTGTAGACAAACATGCGATGTTATAGATTATAGTCCATTAAACGTTAAATGACATTTCATTTGGTTTCATTATTTCAAATTGAATAAAATAACACTAAAAGATGTCTAGAGGATTAAATCCTGCATCAAAACTATACATTCATATATTGCAACCTGCCATACAGGAGAAGCGGATATTTACTCTATTTTGAATAGTGTTCCAGACGGGGTCTCCAGCCCACCAGTTCTGCTTGATAGATTCGTATTTGCCAATCCTCAAAGTTTTATTTCTGGAGGCATCGTAGATGTGGGACCCGATGATGCCATGACTTTCCGGATACAGACCCTGTGAAAAAATTATACGGTTTTACGTCTATCAAGCTTTGCATCAATATTCAAGTGAAATAAACATAAAACTTTTGACGGGATTTAAATCCACTAAAAAATGCTACTTGGTAATCGTACTCGTCTCGTACGAATTACTTCCAGTATGTTGAACAAAACTAATAATTAGGCCACTTTAACTCATATCGAGTACAATTAATCCGTTCCAACGAAAAAATTCACCGTCACGATAGTGTAGAGGTTGGTGAACGTGTCGGTGGGGTAAACGGGCGTGAGGTGGCTGGCCCAGACACCACATTTAGCCAAGTGATGCAGTGCTGGTGCTGTTCTAGGAGTGATCATGTCGTTCCTCAGGCCGTCTATGCCGATCAATAAGACAATGGGAGGCTCATATCCTGGAAAGAAGAAAATTAGTTTGTATATCTTACTATGAAAAGACTTTTTTCGTATAATGTTCAACATTGGAAGAAGAACCTTGTTTGCATAGGTTTTTTATGATGATTCATGATTGAATCACTAAAAAGTTTTGTTGGTTTATGATTTTCTTGTTGATTTATCGTTGATATAAAGCTTCAATAAATCAGTCCATGGTCTGAATTGTCCATACAACCTTCGGGACAGTGTAAGTCGATGTATTCACAGGAGCCTTTCGTCATGCGCCACTTGGCGTTGGCTTCGACCTCCGCTTCGCTCTTCGGCCACGAACTGGACTTTTCAAGAGCCGGAGACTCTGGAGGGATCTTCTCCTCACCAACCACAGCGAGCTCATCGTCTGTCTCGCCGCTTGAACTGACTTCTTCCTGAATGTGAATGGTATACATACAAACAGCTATCAATTTGCTAGCTATCAGATTTGTAATGTGTGCTTCTGTCATTTCAAGGTCTCTAGTTGCAGTAATCTAAAAACGTTCAATTTACTAATAATGTTCCCTTAAAACGTTGTACCTAATAAACAATATATTCATCGGAGACCATATATTTCAATAAATGTTTTAGATCACATTTTTTCAAACCAAATAAATTATATAATGCATCACAGGAAGAAAACCAATAAAATTCGTTGATTAGGCTTTTAAGGAAATTAGCTTAAGAGAACAATCATCTAAGCATAAATTAAAATACCAGCTTCTTTCCAATGACGTTTGATTTTTACATTACATACGGCCCAAGCGGTTATTTGAAAAGTTTAATCGTTAAGGAAAAATAGTGAATGTGAAAATTTTTTGCTAAGGGTATGTAAAATCCCCGTATTAAAATATATTTTCTCCGAAACTAAAAATAAACTCTAACTTTAAAATAAACTCTCTAACTCTAAAATAAACAAACACTTCAAAAGTCAGAAGACAGAAAGAAGGACGAAGAAAAGGAATTGGCTCCACATAGAAGTCACGTGGCCAATTTCAATCGATGAGCGGAGGAACGTGAATTTTCACTGTTCGAGCTTTGAGCGTTATTTAAAACTTGCCGATAAGTACGTGGTATGACTTTTTTCAGATAAAACTTTCCCTAGCCCATTTTGAAGTACTGCGGCACTATTAGTTAAATTTTTCATAAAGGTAGTATAACGTACAATATGTATTTTGGATACGTGCGAGAATAGCCATAAACCAAACCATATCGCTTGTAGCTGCATATCCTGTTGTGTAGTTCAAGTCCTTATTACGTATGAAATAGCGTCTCTTGACGAGCAGTTATTACCGATTTTACTCAAAGAGGTAATTCATCTGCACGTGGCGTGCCACTCAAATCATTCACATTTCCATGCCGGACTCATTCCAACGTTACGACTCAAACAAACAAATGAACCATCAATGTAAAATATGACATTTTGCAGAATTTATTTATATAACGAAACAAACTGTACAGCTAGTTAACATATATGGTTATAATATATTAAGGTTATTCCCATGAGGGTTATGTTGTACGCGTACCTTATATAAGTCAAGTTGATAAGCCTCGATAGCACGATAATCACAGTCAGAAAAACTGTTAACCCTCAATTTGAGCACTTGATATATTCATTCTTTCGAATTATCACATGGTAGTTGAAAATTTTTTCAACTGAATTTCAATTTTTATTTTTTTATTCAATTTTCATTTTATGTTATTCACAGACGACTAAGCCAGCATATTGGGCTTAAATCGATGGTTCACAAGCATTACCTTGACCTTAGCAGCTGCCAGATATTCGGCTCTGCGAGACTCGGCGTTGAGGTAGAACCCCAGCAAACAGAGCGCGATCAGTACGCCACCCACCTGAAAAATGTTCAATTAGGTTACGCCATTACAAAACGAAAAATCAGGAAATTTCCTAAAAGCAAATCAAACAAACTCAGGCTTTAATGCAGTGAAAAAAAAACATGCAAAATTAACAAAGCGGGATACATTTTTTCAGCCTCAAATGAAGCACATGAAGTTCTTGACTCTCGAAAGCTCATCAACTAGTGGAAATATTCTGTAAAGGGCTTAGAAGGATTTGCAGCCGGCTGATCGAATTGCCCATCAAACCCATCACAGATCATTAAACAGGGCACTTCGATTTTTCAGAATATTTTATTTGTTCATAGCACCAATGAATGGTTCCTTGCAGTGTTGGGAAAATTTTTCATTTGAATAATTTTATACAAAACAAATGAACCTAGTCACTCAAATTACGTTACAGGTATAAATAAGCATAAATAATAACTTAATGCAAAAATTTTTATGAAATTATCCCGCAAATATCTATATATGCTTTAAGGTTTTCGAAAATTGGACATACATATGAACCTCGATTTAAAATATCAGGATGCACAAGCACAACGTATACACTATATAGCTCTGTGATGTAATCATGGCTATTCACGAGACCGTTTCTCGCATTAGTTAAAGCTTTCCGTTGCGGAAATAATGTTGATAATACATACAAGTCGGTCTATTACAATCGGAATACGACGAATAACATCGGTATATCGGAGGCATATACAACGAATTCGTAGATTATTCTATGGCGAAGATGGAAACCTGTCGTACACATAACAACCGAAGCAGTTTAAGATGGTAATCCTATACAATATATGGCTTTATCTTCCCTATTTACGGCTCCAGCAAAGCGGTTGTGTTATCGAATAATATCAGCAGACGTAGTAAATATCGCTTGATTAAGTCGCAGTTGGCACATGTGCAGGTGCCGACCGCTGCAGAGGAAGAGCCTCATTACGCCCCTACAAAGCATTTGCCACTGCATACCATTTGCACTGCGCGTCTGCTGTTCGTATTGAACACATACTCTAGTTTTTAATCTTGTAATATTTTTGTATGTATTTTAAAGTAATATTTTCAGTCTCATTAAATATTTAAAGTGATGTTTAATCATTAAAATTTAGCAAATCCTACATGGCCATCAAACATTAGACACACTTACGTTCTGTTCTTCACAATTGACATTGCTTTTTTGGTAGTGCATCCTCATAATAAAAGAACTCTTTCTGTTGTGTAAATAAATTGTTCAGTACGTGACCCACGCAATGCGTGGCTCGCATGCACTCAGCGGGTTCACCCCCTTACATTAAACACGGATCTCATTTCTTTGTTGTCATTCAATAATAATCCGGATGAACAGCGCCTACACCCTCGGCGAATAAGAATCATACATTTTATTACTGACCACACGCATGGGTTATAAACAAGCATACTTATTTCAGTGAATTACTATCAGAATAAGAGATTTTATATACTTTCGTTCAATTTGAAAGAAGCCTTGCTTTATAAAACTAGATAAAGATATTTTTATTCACCAATCCCAAGTATCAGTTTGCTTAACAAACTTATAATAAAATTTGCACCGTTTCTACGCTTTATCCACGGGCAAGCCGAAAAAGATAACGTTTGACTCAGAAGATACGTCAAACGTAATTGTTCATTGATATTTGTGTTGAAGAATTTGTATGTTAGTCAAATATTATGTTGCTTTTTAGCTTAAAGGTAGCCAAAGGGAAAATGTTGAAGGCAGACATACAGTGGGGGGAAATAAATATTCGTACACTTGAAAAATCGTATTTTAATGTATGTAAGTACACAAACTTAACAGGAAAAGTGATTTAAATTATGTATAGAGACGCATAGTATTCAAAAATACTATCAAAAGAAATTAAATCTCAATGCAACATGGAATGTTCTGGTGTGAAATATAAGTCAAAAGTTGTTTTGTACGAATACTTTTTTGACCCGAAGAAGTTAACATGTTGCATTAATTTTTGTTGCATTGAGATTTAATTTCTATTGATGCTATTTTTGAATACAATGCGCCTCTATACATAATATAAATCACTTCTCCTGTTCAGTTTGTGTACTTACATACATTAAAATACGATTTTTCAAGTGTACGAATATTTATTTCCCCCCACTGTATATGGAAGATTGTTGTGCGGGGGTTAGCTGGAGCGGATGTGTGATATATAAGATGGGATTTGTATTATAGAAAAGGATTTGGAAAGTGATTCGGTTAATTATGTTTCAAGTTGATTGATATGTTACTTTCTTGTCTGTCCTATTTGTTAGAAATTTCCCTGTTGTTTATTTTGCCTATGGAGGAAATTTCGCCTTGAGTTAGCACCCTTATAAGCATAGACTAAAAACGCTGGGCAGTCTCAAAAGAGACAAATTATACATACTATAGTCCTAAGCACTGATAACAGTAACTTTGATAATTTTTCATAGAGTGTTGCAATAGAGTGTTGTTAGAGTGATGCTTCATTAAAAAACGCTATACGGTCATGTAAGTCGTGCCTGCGTGTGTGTTCTTTACCATGTCTAAAAAACTTGTCAAAAAAATAAAGTACCACCTATCAAAGATTGCTCAAAAGTGCCCTTGCAATTAGCTTCACGATATCATGGTACCAGGTGCATGGTAATTGCCGTAATACTAAAGCGCTATATTTAGGTTTCTTAGTCTCCGATTGTATGCACTTCCAGGGTCGAGACGTACGACGTCGAAATTAAGGTAGTTTGGACATGCCTGCCTATACGTACATGAGCATGCTGGCACTGTGCTGGTGCTTTTGTGCTTTTGTTATTGTTCAGTTAGTCACTTGCGGTTTCAGGTAGACAATATCAAATATTATCAGTCGTTCAATGCAAAGCTTTTGAGCTGAAAAAATATCAGTCAATGTTATTAAATTCATGCAATTTATTTACTAAGCTTAAAGAAGGGAATGACTTGAGTAATGAACCACACAAGGTTCCAATCGAGACAAACGTAGCCCATAGTAATGTGCTCGAACATGTGCATGAATTTTACGCACTTTTAGTATTTTCTCAAAGAATAATAGGAATTGATAATTGATTATCTGGTCTAAGTCATAAACTTGTGAAGGGCCTTAAAATACCCTCTATCACACTACGTGCATAAATATTTCTCATGTTTCAAATGAGTGGCAGCCATTGGGCAGCCACTAGTTAGCATTTTTACGTTGCTCCGACAGGCAGATACACGTTAATTGTCATTACTTGTCTTTAAATGTCATGTTTATATGAATTATTGAGGCATAAATGCTTACCAGAAGTGCGATGCAAACTCGCCATTTCCTCGAGTATTGAGCACTCTGAAAAAGAAGAAGAAATAAATAGAAATAACTTATTTTATATATAACTCACGTTGTTTAATAATAAAGACACAAGAACATGTTTAATAAATGGAACAGAAGCGGATTGTTTTGTTACCATGTTTGTGACTAGTTTGTACACGAATACTACACGCTAATAATATAAACCGAGTTATTGATGATGCGTTACTTCATGATCTCAGTCAAATTTCTAAGCTCAAAATTGGATTTGTTCCTTAGTGTCTACATTAAAAGTCGTTTCCACCAAAAAAATTTGTATGTTTTGAAAAACCCCATATTTAAATTTTGTATACCCCTTGAAAACCCCATATTTAACTACCAAATTCTACCAAACGTCAAATTCGCCAAATTGTGGAAAATGATCTTAAAATCTCGAATATATACCTATTTTAAAGTTTGTGTGTATGTGTATGTGTGTGTGTGGGTTTGTTTGAAGCCTAGCATCACAATTAAATATACGAATAACCGATTCCAGGATAGGTATATTTAATTGAAGTTCGGGACCGATTCCAGGATACGTAGCGTGTCGGGATTTCACCAGAACATAAAATTCCATTCTTATTGGGAGAATAGGAAAGGATTTTCACAAAAACATAAAAATTTCATTCTTATAGAATAGGAAAGGATTGGTGGAGAAAGAGGAAAAGGTGAAATCGAAAAATAAAATGATATTTTGCAGTTGGTATTTATAAATAAATGTATGAGACGCAAAATAGTTTTTTCGAAAGAGTGAAACGAGAGTAAAAAATGAACACTGATTTAATGTAAAGTGTAACTTTGATGGGGTCTTTATTCAAACATAATTCACTATTGCAGGTTAACCATCACAAGCTTTAGCGTTTTTACATAAGCGTTTTTAGGCTTGCCGTATTATAGGCATTACGGAAATGACGGGATATAGGCGACAATTGAGTTCAATATTAGTGGAATCATAAAGCCCAGGCAATGCAGTGCTAACCTGCTAGTTGTGAATGAGAAATATTTTTTGGTGTTCAAAGAAAATATGCCTCTTTCACATTTTAAGTAGAAAAGATATATTTACGTCCATAGATACATAAACAATTTAGATGTTCTGTATTAAACAAACATGATTGTAACTGCTAGAATACATAAGAAAAAACACACATGGGTTAGTAAAGACACACACACACATAAATTGATATGTAAAATTGTTCAAATAATCTGAATATTAACTCACAACGTATGATCCCGTCATTTGACTGTAATTGGTTGAAATGCTGATCGTATCGTAAGTCTTTCGTTTAGATTCGGCGCAAGTGGATGCTAAGGACCGTAGATCGCATGGGAAATCTTCAAAATTTGACGACTTATCTTCCGGGATGCTTTCTGTTCCGTCCCCATAGGGCAAACTACCAGCGGCTGAGGGAGGTCCTCTTTGCTCCGCTACTCTAGGGTTTACTCTGGGGTCGCAACCCGTGAAGTTAATGGCATCTACGTTCTGTATGTTCGAAGAGTTTGTTGATATTCCATAAAGATTGGTGTGTCGCTTGCTTCCGGCAGAGCTGCCTCTGTATTGAGATTCGGATTTTCTGCGTCTCCGATCCGACTGATTACCTGTCGAACGCCGAGCACCTCGTTCCGAGCAAGCGCCTGATGCGTCCGTCCCAACACTCTCTCCGTCCAGTGAAGTATTTTGGGAGCTTCCGAAGAGAGACTCGAGAGTGAAAACGGCCTGCTTTGTCGTGGCTGCCGAGACGAGAGTAACATTGTCTTCCCTATTAGCTCTTGCAGGTTCTTGGATGTTAAATGTTGTGTATAAGGAATTAAGACCAGAAGATGAGCTTCTAGACTTGAAGCTGTCTTTCTTTATGGTGTTTGTGGAAGAGGCAGTCCACAAGCTTGGGTGCATCACGAGTTACATCGCCAAAGTACCAGAATTACAATAATTTATATATTTCACTACGACCTCTGCCAGTTTTCAAGCAATTTCCCGACCATTGAAGGCAATTCTTTCATTCCATTATCTATAATGAACATCCCCACGCAAAATTTTCTGCAGTATTGTTTGCACCCACAGTAAACATGATGATGCAAGCATCAGGATGAAAATTTTCGTGCGTTCCAGGAATGTTTCCGTTCTTGTGAAACACGGACTCATATTATCTGTAAGCGGTAATTATTTTATACGACACATCAATGCGCTGTTGCATTAGGAGAGTGGTGAATAAAATAATAAATATCTCAAGAAATAAAGTAAGGAAAGGTAATGTTATATTATATTAAAAATGAACACTACGAAAAGCAATTTGGTACAGGTTTACTAACAACCTCATTTGGAAGCACTAACCACCTCATTTGCAATAAACTTAAACGACTCGATTCATCATTGGAAGGAAATGTTTATTGAAACATAACATGACCCCAATGTAAATCTCGTCCCCATCCCTGCAGAAATAAACGCAGCCTATCGTTCGCTCCGTAATTTCGCCAGCGAACGACAGCGAACGACATCCATTCACTTCGCCAGCGATCGGATGTCGGGGGTGCCGTCTGTTTGGTGACCGCGACCAACGGCCGACAAATTGATTGACCAAAAATTGGAAGAAGCTATAGATAATCAAAAAAATTAGGCAAACTCTAAAAATTTTCGTATTCTTTACCAGATGACAGGATACATTAATACATGTATCAGAACAGAGAGATTCGTTATTGAACGAAGAGAATAATGAAGCCACCTGGTAATTGTGAATAATTATTAATAGAAGCTTAAGAATATTACCGATTTTAATCCATCAGGATTCGTTTACAATAGCACATCTGAAGTGAGACGGAAACATCAAATAACAATTTCATATATCAATCGAATCAGTAAAAATGAACGAAATACAAAAATAGCTAACATCTTTACGCTTTATGTCCGCTGCACAAACGAGCAGACCTCCTCGTCATACAGTACAAACGAGCAGACTCCCTCGCCATACAGCACAAACGAGCAGACCTCACCATACAGCACAAACGAGCAGATTCCCTCGCAACACAGCACAAACGAGCAGACCTCCTCGCCATACAGCACAAACGAGCAGACTCCCTCGCCACACAGCACAAACGAGCAGACCTCCTCGCCATACAGCACAAACGAGCAGACTTCCTCGCCATACAGCACAAACGAGCAGACCTCCTCGCCATACAGCACAAACGATTTAATTATACTTAAATCATTCCCGAGTAATGTTATATTGACTGAGTATCACAATAGTAAACCTAAAGAATACAAAAACTCCGGATGGTGTTATTATCAAATGCTAAAATAACGTTAAAATTATTGCTCATTGGTGAATTTTTCCGGAATTTTTGGAACGGAATTATTTTTGGTAGAGACTGACTAAATATATATAGCATGAGACCCTTACTACCGTGAAACTTTGCATGCCATGCATGATTGTGATGAACATTCGGATTTGAGGTTTCTAAAAGATTTAATGCTTAATTCTGTTGAATAACATCATAATTAAAAATGCCTGACGTTTCAATATCATATATTATCTATGAGATTTCGCAGGGTAGATTTTTTTCGTATTCGTGCAACGAGCTAGTTTTAGAAAAGGATTTCTTGTCGATGGGCTCAACGCTGCTTGAATAGTGATCAGTAACAAAAATCTTCCTATGTGGTGATCTCATATGATCAAGTTCACAACTCATTTTTCTACCTCAAATGTCGCTTTTTTGGTGTATCTAAACTTGCACAATTAATATTGTTCACTCAGAATATTTACAATATAATAAATTCAGGCTTTATCACGCGCCATTGCATGGGTAAACTGCCTTTAAGGCTAAAGCACTGTCGACATTTGTTGATTCATTTGTCGACACATCCGATATTTTGAAACTAAAAACCTCATTTAAGGCCCGTTCTTGAATTATCGCGCGAATTATTACTTCGATAATTAAATAAAGCACTAGATTTATCTCCCAACTATTTATTCTAGTCGCATATTTTACTCGGTTAAACCAGTATTCAAGTTAATAAATCACTCGCCTTTCCAGGATTTTCATTCCTGGCTACTGTACAAGTTAACTGGGAACTGATCATCGAAGACGCCGCACCGCATTGTTTGAAGAAGAATAAATTACTTTATTTTTATATATTGCACTTTATAATATGTAGCGTTTAGGTTTTTTGAGAAAGGACGTATTGCCTTTTCATTCCACGTTTATATTACTGAAAGCTAACTTGACGCAAAATAATTAGTCAGGTTTCGTTAAGCACCGGAAAAATCTAGTCTATTTTCTTTTTGCGTTATCGGCATCTCATTTTAAGCGTGGAAATTGAGATCTCTGGCCACTGTTTAACTAAGAGCAATTGATGCAATTGCAGTCCTATATGCATTTTCGCACTCCTCCGTCAGATTTATTAACATGGTTTCGAAATCGCTTAGCACTCCATAAGCATTCGATACTATCAGCTTACAGCTAACACGCTGAGTGTGAATTTCAATCAGTTGTTTACAGTTCACCCAGTCAAACATTTAGTTCCGTAATTAACATCGATACTAGCGAACCTCGCATAAAATTCGAGAAAGTTCTCAAGCCATATAACAGAATACCAAGTAACAATTTTTCGTTGGCAGCACGTTTAGTTCTGATAACCAAGTAATAATTTTTCGTTTGCACCACGATTAATTTCGATAAATCGTCCGCTGACGTTCATGTTTGATGATAGAACAGCCATGCACTGCACCGCAAGACGAGGGCACGGCAGCGTGTAGGCCGGGACTGAGCAGGCAGCTGCCGCAGAGCAGGGCCGCGGGATGCGGTCAGCAGCATCGCGCCTGCCCTTGCTGCCTCTTCCTGCCTACAGGCCACCGCCCTAACCGAGCCATCAGTGACGCACGTCTCGTGTGATACGCTTATACTTTCAGCCAATTGAACTTTAAATGAAGATGCATGAATGCAATATACCATCACACTACGAATTAGAGAGTAGGAGTAAATTAGAAATTCGGAGGGACTAAAAATTATTATTCCGTTATAAATTTATTTATTTCACCTTTTGATTATTAGTTAATAATATTATAGGAATTTTAGATATATCTTGGCTCGCAGGAAACTTTCTATGATGATTACGAGTGAATTAAACCCTTTAGTGAATAAGATCCGTTTGTTAAAATTTTCATAAATTGTGAATATATGGCAGAGTAAAGAGCACGTAGAGAGTGACGCAATACAGCGACAGAGCGAGCACGTATATATGTCATTAAAACCATGAGTTGGGTTGAAAGAAAATTTGATATCACCTGAGTTTTATATATTTTGAAGTCACCTGCTTGCCCAAACTTATTATGATTAATTTATTACGGTACGAGAAATTTGTACATTTAATCAAGCTCTCACCATTCTGGTTCGTAGATTTATTGTTTTTCGACACGTTCATCCTAGGTGGAGGCAAACATTTTTAGCGCATTTTCTCATTAATGGAAAAAATGTCATATTGTGCTCGCCATGTCCGTCTGTCTGTCTGTCTGTCCGTCCGTCTGTCCGTCCGTCCGTGACCTCAAGTTTTCGTCGACGAGAAAATGCGCCCTCTGTCACTCACTGCAGTGAGTACTGAGTTATATTTATAAATAATTGGGGTGGCGATTACAATATCGTACATTAGTAATTAAATAATAAGTGTTTGCTAGACATCTGACGCACAGAATATCAAAAAGGACAGAATGTCAATATGGATATCAAAAGGTTAGGAATTATGATGCCTTCCTTATTATACTATTGAAGGAGGAAAACTGACATGCAGATGAATCCCGAACTATAGTGGCTAGGATACCTGGGGCAATACTTTCAAAACTCGCTAAGTGAACGTAAGTACTTACGCTCTATTTTCTTGTCCATTATTGGTGGATTTTGCTTGAAAGGCCGTCAATGAATGGCTGATGAACTTACGATCTCTCAACTTTTTTTGAAAGTATAGGCCCTGGCTTTCGCCCAGGAGACCCGGGTCAGATTTCCGGCAGGGAAGTTAATTTTATCCAAGACACTTTCAGGCAAGAACTCACAAATAGGAGCACCTTCATTCCTTTCAATTAAAAGCGGACATTACGCTAGATAACTATCACTTTAGGCGTCACCCATAGCGGATGGAGTCGAACAGTTATGTAAATTTCGAAATGTATTGTAGGGGAATATTTAGTAAATTTTAAATGATGAATGAGAAAAAAGGCCGAATTTCGATATTAATTTCCAATTTTTTAGCCATAACTAACAAAACTATGTCTTTCAAAACCTCAAATTTCAGAAAAAGGTATTTTCCTTCTGTAAAATATTTGTTTCACGTAGGGGCGATAAACAATCACATCATATCATTAAAACAAGTCTCAATTAACGTGTATGGTCGAAGAAGTCATTCAAATCCTCGACTATTAGTCCCGATTTAAAAGTTAAGGAAATTTAAAATATTCTATACTAAATAAAAAGTTAGTAAATATAAAGTTGCACTAATGTAATTTTACCATTATTCATAAGTCAAGGTACCGAGGGGGGCTTTGAATAAGCACGAACTGATCAACAACAAAACGCTATTTTATATAATTATTTTTTAAAGCATTGCAGGTTGAGAGAGCATTAAACTGTAGAGAAAATGCCAAGTATATTCACCATACCCTCATACATTATTTATTATATTTTTAATATTATTTATATATTATTTATTATCATAAATAATTCACCATGCCCTCAGAGGTCAGCTCCATTTTCACTTCAAAATCTAAAATTACACAAGTACCGGTATATGTAAAATAGAAAGACTAAATCACACGTTAGAGATTAAAACCTAAATAACCAACAAACGAGCCAAAACGTAAAAACCTCTTGGTCAGCAATTGTAATCAAATGAGGACTGCATGTAAGCGTTGTTATAGAAAGGTTTTCGCATAAATAAAAAGCGATCCCAAGATACCTGAACTTCCGGCACCAAAGCTGGAATCTAACATTTTGAAATCGCTCTCACAGACAGGCTCTCATTCTTACAACACATGTATCTCTGTTAACGTCAATTAATTAACTATACTAACAGGTCCTATAGAAGCATCATCAGCAGCAATAAAAAATAGGCAATTTATAACTCCGATAAAGAATCTCGATTAACGTATCAAGACGCTCGGGAACGTGAGGATTATATAC